CTGAGCCCTGGCAGAAGGCTGGGGTCTCCGTGACCGGTAAACTCAGCCCTGGAGCACAGCTTGGCACAGGAACCTCTGCCATGAGCTGTGATCCCACATGGAATTCCGCAATGCCTTGAGCTGCTCCCGTTTTTCCACCCCTCAGCATCCCTGTCCGGGGTGGGAGCTGCTCTGTGCTGCGCCCAGGGGTGCAGGGAGAGGGAGGATGGTGCAAGTGGAAGCTTGACCCCCCACCCCAGGAGCTCACACGCATACACAAACACCCTGCTTTATTCCCTCTTCTGATCCCGTTGTGGACTCTGGCAAGCCCTGCTCTCTCCCTGGGGACCTGCAGGGTGTGTTACCTGTGCACCAAGGGCTGGAGGAGGTTTTCCCCTTGGGAAACAGCCCTGGCTGCAGGATATTCCCTAGGGACAGGTTCTCGGTGGGGTCTGGTCCAGCAGGAGATGGGTGCAGCGTGGAGCAGGGCTCGGTGCTCGGTTCCAGAGATGCTGGGGAGGTTTGGGGGCACTCAATCACACAGCAGAGAGCAGACAATGGCCCTCCCCTCCCTCCCTCCTCTCCCAACCACGGCAGCAGCTTCCCTGTGGGCATCTGGCTGCCAGCCTGGGCTTGCAGTGACCCACTTAGTGCAGACACAGGCGCGAACCCGCTCCCTGCACAAAGCCCGGCTCAGCCTGTGGGGTTTCGCTGCCACAGGGGCTGCAAAGGGGCTCAGTGGGGCAGGAACCTGGCACCGCACGGGGATTTAACCAGCAAATGGGGGTCCCCCATTCGTTAATACAAGAGGCTGTTGGCTCTGACACCCAGGCAGGTGGGTGAACCCTTCCCTCTGTGCTGGCTGCGGGAAGCCTTGTTCTGATGCAGTCGGTGTGGTTGGAGATGCCTGCTCTGAGAGCGGTCCAGAGGAGGCCATGGGGATGCTGCGAGGGCTGGAGCAGCTCTGCTCTGGAGCCAGGCTGGGAGAGCTGGGCTGGGGCAGCCTGGAGAAGAGAAGGCTCCTGAAGGGGAGACCTGAGAGCAGCTCCAGTGCCTAAAGGGGCTGCAGGAAAGCTGGAGAGGGGCTTGGGACAAGGGATGTAGGGACAGGCCAAGGGGAATGGCTTTAACCTGCCCGAGGGGAGACTGAGATGAGCTCTTAGGCAGAAGCTCTTCCCTGTGAGGGTGCTGAGGCGCTGGCACAGGGTGCCCAGAGAAGCTGTGGCTGCCCCATCCCTGGCAGTGTTCAAGGCCAGGTTGGACACAGGGGCTTGGAGCAAGCTGCTCTATGGAAGGGGTCCCTGCCTGTGGCAGGGGTTGGAGCTGGGTGAGCTTTGAGGTCCCTTCCAACACAAAGCAGGTTGTGGGTCTATGATCCTCCTTGAACACCCCCTCTCATGGCTCAGTTAAGAGCAGTCTGGGGTTAGATGTTGGAGTGGTTCCTCCCCAGTGCTCCTGCAGACTGGGGGCCTCACCTCACATCTCACCCCCATGGCCCATCCCACCCATGGGATGCTCAAACCTCCTCCTTCCTGTGCCCCAAACGGGTCTGAGCAGATTTCCCCATGGCCTGGGGAGATGTGGGGGAAGAACCCCCTTGGCACTGCCGGGCACACCAAGAGAGGAGCTGAAGGATGCTGCTGGTGCTGCAGCGCTGACCCTGCCCTCTCCATCCCCTCCTGTCATCATAGATCAAATACCACGAGGAGTTCGAGAAGAGCCGGATGAGGCTGAGCCCCGGCGAGGGTGCGGAGCTGGAGCACCGGAATTCCCAGGAGAGCACCAATTACCAGAGACCCACGGAGCAGCAGCAGCAGCAGCAGCAGCAGCAGCAGCCTCCGGTCCATCACATCCAGCCCAGCAACCCAGGTACAGGGGGGCTGCGGGTGCATGGCCCTGGCTTTGCTGCAGCCGCAGCCACCTCCTTGCGAGGGGTTTTGCTGCAGCCCCACATCAGACCCATCTTTCCCCCCCCCCTCCTCAGTCTACCAGCAGCCGATGTCTCAGTCCTATGGCTACAAGGAGCCCGCAGCACCAGCTTCCACCCAGCGCAATGCTCCTGCTGGAGGGTGGGTGAGTACAGCCCCGAGCGCACCCCCATGGGGCAGGCTTTGCCCTGCTTCCCCCCCCGTGTGCAGAGGAGCCCTTGGGATGGGGTTGGAGGGTGCTTGGTTGTGGGGCTCTGTGCCCACTGACCCCTCTCTCCCCACAGAAGCGTTTCCGCGCTGTCTATGACTACAACGCAGCCGATGAGGATGAGGTCTCCTTCCAGGACGGTGACACCATCATCAACGTGCAGCAGATCGACGACGGGTGGATGTACGGCACGGTGGAGCGCACGGGGGACACGGGGATGCTCCCCGCCAACTACGTGGAGGCCATTTGAGCCGCGGGAAGGGGACGGGGCAAGGGGCTGATCCTCACAGCCGAGCCCCCCCCCCAGCCCCACCGGCCTCTCCAGGTTGTGTGTGCGTGCATCTCTCAGCCCCAGCATCCCTTATCCGTGTGCTCGGGTGTTGCTCACCGGAGCCGCCTCCTCACGTCCCGGTTACTCCGTGTTTCTCTCTCGCCGATTCAGCTTTGCTCTGGCTCTGTTGGGACCGAGGGAGCGTCTGCAAAGGGGATGCTGGGGGCTTGAGAGACCAAACGCCGCAGTTTTCCTTCTTCAGGCTCCCTCCTCTCTCACCGTCCCGGTGTTTCCTGGCAGGGGGAAGCAGCTGGGATCTGGCAAAGGGAGGAGGAGACCGTCCGTTAGGACCAAAGTCCCTGGTTGTGGTGGGTTTGGGCAAGAGGCAGCCGTGTCCGCGTGGGTGAGGTGAGGGATGCTCATCCCAAGGGATGGGGTGGCTGCCTCCACCCTGCGCTGCTCTGCCTTCTCCCGTTGCTTCTCCCGGCTCCTCTGTGCTGTTTCCATTCCTTCCTTGCTTCCTCCAGTCCTTAAAACAGGAAGAACATTCCCAGTTAAATGTTAACCACAACCCTGGGATTCAGAGCGGCTGCTCTGGACACTCTGGAACCTGCCTCATCTCCCCCCCACCCTGCATCCCTCTGGGAGCACTGCGACACCAAGACCTCATGTCCCCCCCTGGCAGCTCTGGGGTTCTCCCTCTGGGCCGGGGTCTGGGGGTCCCCTGGGCCCCCCTGGTGCTGGGGCAGCCTCTTCCTCTCTGCAGTGCTCCCAAATCAACCCCCAGTCTTCTCGCTTCCCTCTTGCTGCTGCCGGGCTCCTGGGCCCCTCCTCAGCCCTCCATGTGCTGGGTGGGTGATCCAGGGTCCCTGTGCCTCTGGGGGGGGGCATCCTCCCCCTCTGCCACCTCGCGCTGGTCCCCAGCTATGGTGGCTTTTGGGGCCACCACTGGCTTGGGGTCACATCATGGACCAAAACCTCAAAGCACATCCCCATCCCCTTCTCTTCTGGGCTCCGAAGGTGCTGGGACAGGGGCAGGTATAACTGGAAGCCTGTGCAGGGAGGGCAGGAGCCGGATGCTCTCCTGGGTCACAGAAGCTGGATACCAGGGCTGTGATGATGCCCCATTCCCAGCCCGGACACTGGGGACCAGGCAGCCAGAGGACATCGTCCCCAAGCTGTGCTGCAGGGGCTGGGATGCTTCCAGGGGGAAGCTGCCACCTTTGCTGTTCCCAAAGGAAAAGAGGGGAATCTAGGGACCAAAGCAGCTGAGTTAGGACATTCCTTGGCTCTGTTTGGGGCTGGAAGGGAATGGGGCACCGCTGTCCCCTCGGGGTGACAGTGGGACCCCAGAGGAGGCCGGGATGGGCTTCCCGGGATGTGAATCCCGGTTGGTGCTAAACCAAGCGAGCACAAGAGCAGGGGAAGGGGGAAGTCACATCCTGCTCATCCCCTTCTGAATCACGTTCTTGCCTGGGAGTGGGGCAGTGTCAATGTGAACCCATTTTGTAATGGACCAAATGCCACAGCACCCGTTTTGGGAATAGGGACCTTTTTAATGCTACCTTGGATCCGTTGTCCTACTTGTCCCCTCCTGTCCCCTGCCATGGGAAATGAACCTCTTGACTGCTTGATTTCTGCCTTTTTCTCTCAACTTATGCACTTTTTTGCCTTTCTTCATAGCTGAAAAGCACCTAAACCTGTATTTAAATAAAGACAGAAAACAATAAGGAAAAACCAACCCTGAAAAGCTGAATTGCTCCTTACCCTGTGTAAAATAGCCCTCGCCCATCCCAGCTGCCCTGGTTGTGTCTTGGTGCTGAGCTTAGAACGTGTTTTCTTCCGGATCCGTCGCTTGAGCGGGGTTTGTCTGCGTGTTCCCCTTCCCGACAGGGCCAAAATCCATCCTTTGGCCTTTTGAACTGAACCTTGGAATGGAACAAACCCAATGAATCTCTGCCCCATTTACTCCAATGAACAATAAAAGTCTAATTTTTACCTGATGCTTGTGCTGGTTGTGTTCGGGATCACTTTTCCTGCTCCATTGGGACACGGGGTGGGGGGGGGAATCTGGGCTCTCGGGAATGCTGCTATGGATCTCGAGCAGCTCCAGTGTTGAAGGGGATGGTGGTGATATCAACAGGCAAAACCCATGAGAACCAAAGGGCTCCCTGGTGTGGGTGGGTGACGGTGGCAGCGAAGGATGCTGCTGTACCCTGGGGATACCAGATGGAACAGTGGGAGTTTGGCACGGTCCTGCCCTACATACAGGGTTTTGCTTGGGGGGGGGTGTCACATCCCCATGAGCACCCCCTAATCCGGGCAGCAGGGGGGGGGGGAGTGGGGACAAAGCCCCTCAGGAGCCCCCCCAGCATCGCCCTGCCCGTGCCGGGCTGGAGCCCTCTCTGACCCCATCCTTTATCCCTTTATTTCCTGCCTGCCCGCTGCAAAGCAGCTCCGTCAGCTCCGGCATCAGCTCTGCATCCTGAGCAGAGCAAGGAGGGGAGGACGCAGGGGCTGGCGGAGCGGCGGCAGCTCTGCCGAGCATCCCTTGTCCGTGCCGAGCATCCCTAGTCCCTGCTGAGCATCCCTTGTCCCTGCTGAGCACCCCTTGTCCCCACAGTGGGGAGCCTCCCCCCCCGCTCCTCAGCACCATGCTGGATATCTTCATCCTGATGTTTTTTGCCATCATCGGCCTGGTGATCCTCTCCTACATCATTTACATGCTGTAGAGCAGCGCTGGGGACGATGCGGCTCAGCCACCGGGGTGTTTGCCAGGTGAGTGGTTGCTCCTTGTCCCATCGGGCTTGGATTTTTGGGGGATGGAACGCGTCCTGGGAGGCAGGAGAAGGGGGAGGTTTGGGGTTAATGCTGCTGCTCAAGGCAGCTGAGCTCTTCCTGCTCAGGGCTGGAAGGAGGGCACCAGGCTTTGTTCCAGAGCTCAGGCCACCTCAGCCATGCTGCTTCCTCCCCAGCGGCTCCAGCAGCCCCTTCCTGGTTGGAAAAGCTGCTTTAACAGCGCTGCAGCACGAGCTGGTGGCTCCCGTTCCCAAGAGGGACAGAAATCAAATGGCTTCAGGGAGAAGCAAGAAGGGATCCTGGTGCCTCATTCTAAAGGAGGCAAAGGGGGGGTTCGGTGGCTCTGCTGGCAATGGGGGCCTGCAGCTGCTGCCACTGCCCCCATCCCTGCAGCTCTCGGGCCTGGCTCTGACCGGCATCTCCTTTCTCTTCCACAGCCACCACCGCTGCCTGCTCCATCTCCCACAGAAGCTTCTGGAAGAGCATAACCCCGCTGCGAGGAAACGGAGAGCTGAAGGAGGGGAATGGGGTGGTGGGAGCCAGGGGACATCCTGCTGCTGATGTTCCCGGTGCTGGACGCAGCATCCCAGGGGATGAGGACGGTCCTGCTCCCCCTCCCTGCGTGGCTTCCCTTGGGATGAGCGCTTCCGAGGGTTTAGCTTTAGAAAATCCCTTCTATTTTCAAACGAGAGATGTAAAATGTAGAAGGAAATGAAATAAAGAGGAATGAGACGAGGGAGAGAACGCGGCCGATGCCAAACGTGTCCTCCTGCACAGACTGGAGCGTCCCTGAGCCGGGCACTGCCCGTCCCCCTCTCTTGGATAACCTCACCACAGCAAAAAGGAACATTTTAAATAGGATGGGAATTCCTGTGGGATGGAAAGAACGTTTCAGAGCTTCAGTTCCCCCCGCGAGGAGAGGTCTGGGAAGGTGTTTTGGGGCATCAGGAGGAATTTTCCTGTCCTTTTATGAGCTTTTTCCTAACCTTTTACAACCCCCCATGTCCATCCCTGCTCCTCCAGGCAGTCCCACGCTATCCTGTTCTCAGACTGGAAGTCTCATCCTCCTCAAAGACAAAATAATCCCTGGTCTCCCCTGGGATTATTCTGTTCTTAAGCCATAAACACCTGAAATGCCCATGATGGGAAAAGCTCCTCGTGGTTAACCATTAGTTAACCACCACACCAGCAGGGCAAGCAAGTGGGACCCACATAGAACAGGGACCAAAGTGGTCGATGGGACCTTCAGAAGATGCTGTTTGCAGGAAGCAGGGGGATTTCAGAGCCTGGGAATGCTGGATGTGGTCGGTGCTGCCAGCTGAGCGCTTGACACGGCAATTTCCTGTTAGTAAAACTCTGGGGAGAAAGCCCAAGTTGGTGACTCTGGTCCCAGGCGTGTCCTTGGGGTGCAGAGAGCCGAGGCCTGGAGATGGGGAAAAGCTTCTCCTCGCTCCACCACCAAATATAGCCGAAAATGGGAAGCTGGGAGTATTCTGGGAGGAATTTCTTCAGGCATAAGTCATGTTCTCACCAACCTCCCCTCCGTGGGCCTGTGTCTGATGTCAACATCTCAGTGATTAAGAGAGAGTGAGTAAGGAGGAATGCGTGGAATGGAAACTCAGCTGAGTGTGAGACCAGGAGCAGTCATTTTCTCTTACTCCAAGCTCTCCTCTCCCCTCCACGGCCCTTCCACACCCACCAGCAGGGTGGAATGATCCCTTCCTCCCTGTCCCAAGCCAGCCAGCTCCGTGCTGGAGGGTGAAGTGCAGAAGGATGGAGACCACCAGGCAGGAGAAGTGGCTGCAGCAGATGGGATCCAGGGCTCCACACTGGCACAGAGGGAATTTTGCTTCTCACGCTGGGAGGGTTTCAGCTCCTCGTGGCAGCAGTTCAGATTTGACAGCTTTTTCTTCTCCAAGCTCCTCTGGATCCAGGGTTTGTGCTAGCCCAGAGGTGTTCAATCACCAGAGCACATCAGAGGGTGATGCTGGTGATACTGGCTTCAAGTGTGGTGCATTCCCAGGTCAAGCACAAGTGGTTTGTGGAGTCCCACTGGGAAGGGGTTGAGCTTTGGTCCTTGCTGGTGGCAATGCTGGTGTACGTATGAACACTGCAGAAGCCAGCACTGAGCTGGGGTGTGTGCAAGGAAAAGAGCAGTTCATAATGATTAATGACACCATCAATAACTCACAGTGGGCAGCTTTAGCACAACTGGGCCTTCAGCCTGGGGCTGCTGCCGGTGAATCAAAGAACTCCTCCTGTGCTGCTGTGCTGGCCCCAGGGCATCCTTTGGGACAGGCTATAGCCACCGTGTCCTTGTCCCAGGAGAGGAGCCAGGTGCTGATGGGGGAGCTCCTCCAGCCTGGGGGGTGCTTTGTGTCAGAGCAGTGACACACTGGAAACCCAGTGGAGCAGGAAGGTGCAGGACACTGTTATCAATCCATTATTCTGGATTCCACCAACCAAGATGATTTATTGATGGTGATCCCTGTATCTAGAGCAGTGGGACAGTGATTGATCCAGGCAGTAGCATTCCAACACAGCGGCTCCTCAGCTGTATCTCCCTGTCCCTGTATGTGCCCCTGTATTTGCTCCTGGTAGTTTGAGCTCCTTTGGGATCAGTTTGGAGGCACTCAGTTCACTGACAAAGCCTTGGACAAAGAGCCTTGCTTTTGGCTTCCTTCAGAGCCAGTTACACGTAGTTGCAGCGCAGTTGTAGGAATGCAGTGTGCTCTTGCTAACCTTCCAAGAGCAAGGAAAAGGGATGTTGGAAGCGATTCTGCAGACACTCCTCTCAGGAATGGTTTCACCTCTGCCATCTACCGGCACGCTGCAAGGATCCTCAGCGAACAGATATGCCATCCTCACTCCTTAATGGAGTCAGATCCTGCCGGTAATAGCGTACTCACCACGTTGAAGGATCTTTAACGTGCAGGCTGCTGTCACTGGTGAAACCAAGTGGGGGCAGCTGCCATCAGTCGGCTGTCGCCTGCAGCTGAAGCACTTCCGAAGCTGAACGTGGGTCCCTGCAGCTAAAATCTGGTCCTGGAGGAACACAGAAATGTTTGGGTGGAGGAGAGGCTCTTTAATCATCGGAAGAAAAACAGCCACGTTGTAAACAACACAGAGTAAAGTAAGTGCTCTTTATTGTGCATCACATAGGCTTGAAGGCAATATAGGAGAGAACCAAAACCTTTCCTAAGGAGCAAACATTTATGTACCTTAATGAAACAGTGATCTTAGCCTACGTGGGTTTAACGTGTATCTTCCACTCGGCTAAGTCCTACAACAACCCTTCAACAGCTCGCTTCTCACACAAGGCAGGGAGAGGGATCTGAAGTTTCTTGGTTTATGGTTAGAAGGTGCCTGTGGTTTGAGGGGGGATTGCCTTGCTTGATCAAAGGCTGTCAGGAATCACCTCTTCCTGCTAAAGTGGGATGAGGAATATAGAGAGTGCTTCTGTCCCAGGATTAAGAGGTAGTGAGAGCTCTTCAGTGTAGCTGCACTTCTCTACTTACATCTGCCTCTTTCTCCTCCGATTCCCAAGGGAAAGCAAAATGGAAAGATCCAAATATTTTTGGTTCTGAACTAAGATAACATTCTTCAATTTGTGTGTGCCCCTCAAACGCGGAAACGGTGTCATTTTTATTGTGTATGCAAACAGCCACAGTGGGAAAAGAATGCAGGGTATGTTCCCAAAGGAGAGGCCCCCACTGCCTTCCTCAGTGCTGCCACAGAGCAGCCAAAGGCCCAGAACTCCACTGCGAGGTCCCAGCAGCTCCATGAGCTCATTCCACTGGGCTGATGTGTCCCTGGCTCCTCCTGCTGCCGCTCCAGCTCCTGCTGGAATGGAAGTTTTTCACAAATAATTGGACACTGCTTTGAAAAAATGCTTAGGAAAAAAAAAAAAGCTTTGGAAAACCCCAGCAGGATTTGAGCAGAGTCCGGCACACCCGGAGCATCAGGCAGTGCTGCTGCTGGGGCTGACCAGGCTCAGGCATAGGAATTCCTTATGGAAGTTCGCTTGTGCGTTGACAAGGTGAAACAAGTTCAAGAAGCTGCTGTCCTCTTCGTCACGATCCCCTGTCGGAGCAGAGCAAAGCAGTTAGGGATGACCAGTGAAACGAAATTACTTCTCGAAGCTAAGTCTTATTCCCTGTGTGTTTTCAGCAGCCTCTGCTTGGATGTACAAGGCATCAGTTACGGCACCTAAGGGCAGCGCAGCTGAGGAAGCACACTGGAGACTCTCCAACATTTCCCTCACCAGCTTGTCCGAAGATGGACAAGAGCAATTGTGCATTAAGACGCAGGAGCAGGGTGTTCATCTCTCCAGCTTGTTACCATCAGCAGTCTGGAGGCTTTATGGAGGCTGACAAGCTGTGGTACAGGGAGCAACTGCTCAGAGCCCTGGTTTAGGCTCAGCCCAGAAGGATCTTGGGCCTAACGCTTGGTGGGACCTCTTTTAGAAGAGTGTTGCTTCCCCTGGCCATGGCACTGGGAATCTCTGAGGCAAGAGGGACTGGTTAAAATAAATGTCTCTCCCAATTATCATAGGATCCCAGCCTGGTTTGGGTTGGAAGAGACCTCAAAGCCCATCCAGCTCCAACCCCTGCCACAGGCAGGGACCCCTTCCACCAGAGCAGCTTGCTCCAAGCCCCTGTGTCCAACCTGGCCTTGAACACTGCCAGGGATGGGGCAGCCACAGCTTCTCTGGGCACCCTGTGCCAGCGCCTCAGCACCCTCACAGGGAAGAGCTTCTGCCTAAGAGCTCATCTCAGTCTCCCCTCGGGCAGGTTAAAGCCATTCCCCTCATCCTGTCCCTACAAGCCCTTGTCCAAAGCCCCTCTCCAGGTTTCTTGTCAGCCTTTCTAGGTATTGACACTCATGATTACTTATGACATTGATTTTATGATATCAAAGCACTTGAGGCAGCCCCATATTGCTCTGGTGGTGAGGGAAGAAGGAGGCCTGGATGTGGTGCCATGCTGACCGTGTTGCTCCCTGCCCTTGTCAGTGCTTACCAGACAGCACTGCCTGGAGCATGTCCATGATGAGGTGAGCAAAGGCATTCTCCAGACACTGTAGAAAGTAGTTTCTCTCCCCTGGAGTGCTGAAAACGTTGCAGACCTTCTGCATCATTTTTACTGCCCAGTCCATGCAGTACAGGTCCTTCTCACAGACCTGATGGACATGGGGAACATTAGAAACACGCCTTTTATGGTGGGAACAAAACCACAGAAGGCAAGATTAAATCTTAGGATTAAGTGTTGATTCTAATGCATGGCTGTAGCCATGGCCTAGAAAATGAGGGGCTGCTCTCAGGACATAGAGGTTGCTGTTGTGGTTGGCATGCTAATGGAGGACCTGCTCCACTTTCTGCTTTGACCAGAGGGTGAAAGAGTTCCCAAGCCTCTGCCAGGACTTACTCCTGGTACGTAGGAATAGATGGGGCAACAGTTTTCAAGTCTGGGAAAGCAAATCTGGGGGTAAAGAGACAAAAGGCCTGAGCATGCTCTGTTCAGGGGCACTCACCAAGGCCAGGAACACCACGAGCCTGGCTAACTCAGCCACTCGCCCGTTCACAGCTTTACTGGCCATGAACGTGAAGCAGATGTTGTTTCCACTCAGAATGAGCAGCCGAGCATTGTTCTCCATGAGCCACTCCCTGGGAACCACTGCAGGAACCAGAAAGAGTTACAGCCAGCTTTGAACAAAAGAAAGGAGTGCCACAAGAACTGCTCTGAATGACATGAATCTGTGAATCATTGGCTTTGATAGCTAACCAGGACGTGGAGGGGATACCCTCTGGAATGCAGTTGCAGCAATGAAGCTCCTACCAGCAGTGCAGTTAGAGCTCTTCACAATAGCTTTCATGACACAACCTCACCCCAAGCTAACTTTCAGTGTAGCTGTTAACATTGTTCAGTAGATGTTGGCTGGAACAACCATTATGTTTTCAGCTTACACAGCTTGCACAACGTTTCGTCACTAACGGCTAGACAAGACTTGGATTTTAAAAGGTCTGCATGGGTTCTTAAAATACTTCACAATGGGGAAAGACAGCCTGAATTTGTCAGCAGTGCTGGGTTTCTCTCCTCCCCAGCTACTGCCTGGCTTCCATGTGTAATGGCTTTTCCAGTTATGCTGCAGCTACTGTAAGGAATATCACAATCAGCTTCCCCAGGCACCCGTGTGCTGGAAACACACCCACTGCCAGATTTTAGGCCATGAGTGTATAATCCTATGGATTAATGATAAAGGCAAAACCACACCTGACAGCTCATCCACAAGACTGATGACATCGTCTGTTGTCCATTCTCTAGCTTCTGCATCATAGAGCAGTTTAATGGCCTCTGCTAGACCTTTCAGGCTGGCTTCATCTGTTGGTCCTTGTATCATTTTCTTCCAAACCACGTGTCCTGAGCAATATATGAACCACAACTGCTGGTAAGTGACCAAGTGATTAAACAAACTCTGTAAATGGCACACACACACACACACCCCCGACTACTCGCCATCAAGAGAGGACACTGGCCCAAAGATGATGTACAGCAGGCGAGCTTGGTTAACCATGGGCCATGGCTTCAAAATGCGGGTCAGCCAGAACGCGGAGTCGCTGCGATGAACCCAGTGGTTCAACAAGACGCTGCGGCAGTACAACCTGATCCTCAGCTCCAGCTTCTGGGCACTTCCTGGGGCAAAAGAAGGTGGATATTATCCATCCAGTAAGCCTGATGTGATACAGATGATCACTTCCTTCATAGGAAGAAAAAGAAGGATTTTCTTAAAGCTGCACCAGAGCATCGAGAGGGATTGAAGGAAATTCTGGCTCTTTTAGGTACGTTGCACTAATTCAGGCCATAGGATCTATTGATGCAGCATGTGGTACCTTTCTGCAGCAACTCATGTCTAGTTCAAGGGCTCTCAGCTGGATTTTGGTTTCTGGGGTTTGGCGTCAGTAAGTGGAAACAGGAGGAAGGTGTGTATGTGGCTGCAGATAGTGTCCCACAGAAATACCCAGTCCTGTGCTGCATAACATGAGAATTTCTTGAGAGGTGTGTGCCACATCACTGCTGAGTTTTAGAAACATTAAACTTGACTTTTTACTGATTCCCTCTCTTTCTGTGTTGGTTCCTTTCCTGCTGATTTCACTGGTACTGGTGTACAGTCAGGAAGGTTCAAGTCCATGTTACTATTCACATACATACATAACTTATGCATTGGTTTGATAATGGAATGATTCAAAACACCCCAATGCCTCTCAGGGCAACTCTTCTCACTTTAGGGTAAGTGAAAAGCATTAGGGTAACAAAAGCATTTATCTTTGATGCTGGTAAGCAAAAAATACCTCTATCTATCTGTGTGAAGGCCAAGTATTTGCCTTCAAATGCCCATTTTCTGCCTAACATTGGAGCCAATAGAATGTACATGAGTCTGGAAAGGATTGGTGCTACAAGGCTTAGGAGAGTTAAAGCAGTCTCAATTCTAGACACGTTTTGTTTGCAGTAATGGAGCTCCATTTTCTGCCTTTTCCTTTATAGTGTGTTTCGATTTGGTAGGGCTTTTGTCTGCTTTGATGATTACCTGGTTTGCTGCTCACAACTGTCTGTACTTTACGGGCTAAATTGCTCAGCTCCCAGAGGAAGTTAAAAACCCGGTGACACTCCAGTTCATCCCAGCCTGCTGTTAGGATCTGAAGGTTACAAAAGAGAGGGGGTAAAAATGAAGAGATTGAGCCCTAGATGTCCATCACAATGCCATTTCTCCTATTGGATCAATGCAATCTGTCCTGCAGTTTCTCAGGACAGGGAGGGAAGGTGTCATACCTGCAGTGTGGTGCCTGCACAGCTCCTTCCTTATGAGCAAAGGGAAACCATTATCTGCTATAGAGGGGCTGAGCATTATGCCAGAGGTTGTGCTTAAGCTTAACGCAGCCCAGAATCAAAAGCTGCCAATGGTGTCCCACATTCAGGGCCAAGATCTTAGTTTGGAACCTTATGTGGAGAAGTACAGAAAGGGATTTGCTACAAAGACAAATGTCCCAGCACAAATAATTATCTGTAGCTCTTAACCACAGAAAGATAATACAGGTTTTGGTATTATCAAAGCCTTTCTTGCTGCATGTGTATAGAACACGTGTAACACAAGTTTCTAAGACTTAAATGCTTTTTAAATGGGCTCAGGGTGCCTGTTCTTTTCAGAGAGAACTTCTTTCTGTATTTTGTTTTACTGTTGCTCTCCACTAAAGCCTCCACTATGGCAATTCCAGCACTTCTCTATCAAACATCTCAAGTAGTGTTAAGAAGCCCAACCCGGAGTGTTCTACTGCATCTTTGCAACCACAGCAGTCATTACGGTAAGTAAGCCTCTTGAGCTGTGAATTTGAAGCTGTGTAATCAAATGTTCTCCTTCTCCCATGTCATCTTAGATAATAAACGGCTAATCAAGATCCAGACTGGTTGGTAATGGAATCCAAACCAAGGAATTCCCAAGTCAAATCAGCAACTTTAACAAGCAGAAAAGAAATTTGGGGAACTGTGTGAATAAATACCTTCCCCCTACATCCCAAGGCTCAAAACCATCTTAAACGTCTAAATAGCTTCCAAACCCACAGATTAATTTAGAAAACTGCCTCATTTTTCTTTTCTATTTGGGATACTTGCCTTGTCTCCATAGATACTGTACCTGTAAAAATACTCCATAACACTGTAATCCCAAACAATGCAGAGGACTTGGACAACCATTAAGTTTGAAACAGGAAACCTGGAAGGGCAAAACATTTGTGATTTATCTGGCTAGAAGCTAATTCCTGTGATTGAAAATTCTCTGTGCTACCTATGGGCATCAATACTGATTCAAAAGACTCAGAGGACTCCCTTATTGTATAAGGAAACAAATTATCGTCCCTATGTCAAGGCTTAGCATTAAGTCCAGAACTGTGATCAAAAGGGTGTGCAAATGGTCTCTAAGATGAGCAACCCTGTCTCCTCCAGGAGAGTCACATTCCTGGAAGAGCTGTGCTCTTCCTCTGCAACATTTCTAGTAGTCCACAAAGTGAAGAGAAGCTGAAACCCACTGCTCTTGGAATATGAAATCTCTGCAGAACAGCCTTGGTCTAGGCTGGCTTAGGCTTTCCTCTTGTTAAAGAGAGACTGATTTCAAATCAATAAACTCATTGCACAGTAGTAATAAACTTCAGCAAAGGGACAGTAAAAGGCATCATTCAACATTAAGTGCTTTATAGAAATGGTGTTGTAAGTGCAAGGGACAATTAGAAGCAGTAGTGAAAGGACCATGAACTTACTCCTGAGAGAACCTTGTGGATGTACTTCAGCCTCTCTTTAGTAGGCAGGAGAAGCGTGCATCTTTTAAGCAACAATCCTGTGAGCAGAACAAACACATGCATGTTGTCAGTACAGCCACACAGCAGAGGTGCTCCTCAATGAGCAGAAGTGCTCCCATCACACGTATCCAACACACCATCCAGAAAAACTGCTGTGAGGCAACAAGAGCAGCACACAGAGTAATTTGTGCTTTGGAGGAGAGGTGCACCCTCTTGTAGCAGAGACATCTTTTACTAGAGAAATGTTGTCAGGGCTTCCTAGGCCATAACTTGTTTATTGTGTTGTTGCAAAATCCCCGTTAGCCACAGTTGGAGCCCTATAAAAATGACTCTATTGGTTTTAGAATTACAGCAGTTAAAAATACTGGAAAGAAATGTTACTCGTTGCACCTCTTCTAACAGTTCCCTGGGGAATGCTGTTTTCCCCTTCTATCATGGAAAGACGAGCTTCCCAAATTGTTTTCAAGATAGCCACGTGCTCTAAAAGGAAAAGATTCTAAATGGTGTGAATGTAAAACGTAGCTAAGGGGTGGAATTCTTTTTCCTCTACAGGACTGAAATGGTCCATTTAGGATGTCCAAGTCTGGAGTTCATTATAGTGTGGAACAGCTACCCTACTGATAGAAAAGAGGTTAACAGCTTGCTTTTCAAAACCTTTTACCAGAATTGTGTATATATATAGTTAATTAATCAAGAAATCCAAAGAAAAGCATGTGCTTTGTACTTTTCAGGGGGAGGGAAAAAAGAGGAAACCTTTTTTGTCTGAATTGTCAGTCTCCCAAATAACACACAGCTTCGCCAATGTCAGAAAGTGCTTTCTGCATTCACTGTGGTTCCAAAGTGACTCTTTCTTTCTTTAGCAGGGTGTGAGCATTCCTGTGTGACAGACATCATTTATTCATCAGCCCATGACAGCGTCCAAAGCTCAATCAAGTCAATTTGCTCTGGACTATAATAGGCTTCAGAGAGATGTCCCAGACAGGCATCAGCAGGGGGAATTCTGGTGGGTGAAAGGGTTGAGCAGAAGGTGCTGCTCCTCGGTTTGCTCAGCAGAATCCCCCCCTGTGCAGAAGGACAGGGCCATGATCATTTAGAACTCAAGTCTCTTTTAAACCATGGCTGGGATTCTGACCCCATTATAAGCATTGGAAGATTTTACTGTGCACTTGAGTGGAGCCAGACCCCTGTGAGGTTAAGTGACATTTATGTACAGTCCCTGCTCAGGCTCTCTGAATGGCAATGAGTTTTTTCCATTGTATCCAATCTTTTCTGCTGTAAAGTGAATATTGATTTTGCAACTGATCTCTGAACAAAAACGTACTCTTGAATCTTCCACTGATGACACAGATATTGCCAGTGATCTTTATATTTTGAGTATGACATTGGTTTACTACTAGGCCTACTATAGTGTTCACACCTACATCCAAATAGCAAGTTGCCGTTTTGTGTGTGTCAAACTAATTTTGACATTTATTTTTAGGTTTTTTTTTAAGAATTGTAAGTTTTCAGGCTTCATTTTAAAATAAACCACTAAGATTACTTTAAGATACCTCAAAACCTACAAGGATTGCTTACAATAGGAGCTCTTTGGTCTGAATGACTTTAACAGTGTTCCGTTGCCTTTATTTAATGTCTGAAGTTCAAACTGTACTTATAATTCCACAGCTAACCATGGCATCATTTTATTTCTCTGTCAGCTATCAGAGAGGTAACACTAAATAGCTGTGGGTGAAATCATGTTATAATTTCATTTGCTTCCCTGATAGAATGCCTTAGAATGAGTTAGAATAAGTGTGTTTTAAACGTTAGCAGAAAAGTTAAAAAGCAAATGGGTTTGGATTTGAGGCTGCACAGCGCTCCTCCTTACCACATAACCCAGGTCATTCTGATCTGTTTCTATTAGCAGGAGGTCTGAGCAGCTGGAACAAAGAACATGTGCATCTTTTCACCCAGAAAGAGTTTGATTAGCACACAGGACACCATGACAGCCAAAGCACAGACATTTTCACATTGCCCTTAAGCTGAGAGTGAGAGGAAAATGTGTTCTCCATGCCTTTTTGTCTCTGAACTCTGAGCCAGAGCTGCCAAAGAGAGCTGTAATAGCTGACAAGTGAGAGAACATTTTTATGATGAGCATGCTTCTTTCCTAAGGAGTGGAATGTGCTCTGGAATCCATCTCAAGGAGACTGTCAAGCAGTCTTCCCGATGGCAACTGTCCTTGGTCACTTTAGAGTTAGGCTGGCTTTAAGTGCTGCGGCTGCATTTCCCACACTGAGGAATGTGAGCTACTCCGGAGTGCTCCAGGAAGGCAGCCTGAGCAGCCACATTCCTTGCTTCAGGCAGTGTGGGGCCTGGGAGCCTGGGTTCCTGCTGCAGTTTCCAGTGCTGGTGGCCAAACAATCTATATTTGGAAACACCTACTACTGAGAGCTGATCCTCTGCCCAGCCCCTGCTTGCCATTTAATAGGGGGGGAAATAAAACCCGACACAGAGGAGGCAGAATATACATTCTTTTTCCATAACTAAGAGGCTTTGGAATCATTTCAGGTAATTCCTCCCACCTCCCCTGGCCAGTTAATGGAGCAGGCTATTTGGCACCGAGAGGAACTTCTCTTTCAGAGGGAGCTGCACAAATGATTTGGGCCATATCTTCAGCATTTTACTGATCAATGCAGAAAACAGAAGAAACCTTTTAACCGAGCTCAGTTCTCTAATCTTTACCATTTGCATTAAAGGATCACCTAGAGATCTGTAGTGCTCTAAAATATAGGATCCTTCTCCCTTGCCAGGTAGCTCAAGGTTATGGAAGTCTCGCAGTAACAGCCTTTGGTTTCCTGCTGAGGTTGAGATGTAATTCATAAGGTGGTTGCTGATGGTTTTCGACACCATGCTCAGCATGCTGATATCCTTCACTGAAAAGGCAAAACCCAGTATACTTGTAATTCTTCACAGCAAGAAAAAGGTTAGTCAGTAACTTGATCTTCCTCAAAAGTAGGCCAAGATATAAGATTTATCTCATATATACCAAAATTTAATTAGTTTATCTCTTTTGCTAACAAACTGTAGTCATCAGAAATGGAGAGATCTAATAATGGAGAGACATAATAGGCAAAACCCACTTCAAATAATTTTTCATTATCATTTACATTTTTGGTCATTTGGTTCTGCATACATAAAAGCTGAAAATTCAGAGAATAACTCACATCAAATGGCTTCACCCAGGTAAAAGCTAAACCACTTTACATAAGAATGGATTTTTCTGAATGGGAAACTTGTGGTAATCTTCAGACACTGGAAGGGAGATTTTTCTTATCAGATTCTCACCTGAAAGATAATTCAATATCATTTGAAAGATCTCTAGTGGAAGTGTTTGAAAATATCCAAGTGTTGACAGAGATTGGGAGTGTGTGTCCGAGGGGTTGCAGCGCTGACTGGAGCGACGGGTGCTGCGCCTGTATTTCTGATTCGGAATCAAGGTGTAGCTGGTCCCTGGGGTGGAGGTCATTGTCCTGTCAGTCCCATCAATTGAACCTGGAGAGAAAACATGGAAGTCTGTCATAACAGAGGAAGAAAATACCATCCCCGAACCTAGGAGGAAATGGCCGCATTGTCGACACTGCGATGGAGCGTGAAAATCTGGTCATATGCATAGGATAAGGATTTGCTTTAGTTTAGTGCAGTGATGTTTAATTTACTAAGTGATGTTCTAATTCCATGCCTCAGAGAACGGAGTATTCAGCTGATTTTAAAGGAGGAAAAGATAAAAGCATGGGGGTCATCCTTTGAGTGCGACATCGGGAAGATGAGAAAATAGTTCTGAAAGGAAACTCTTGAAGTGCATGTGATGGTACAAGCTGCAGTGGTTAACTAAGTTCTCTTACCTTGGTACACCAACTATTCAATAGAATAAGATGAAGTTCTAGGGATGTTATTGAAAGGACTGTCATGTTACTTGATTCCTCTAGTGATAGCTGTTTATACACAGTTATACTACTTACACAGATGCTTGCATACGACAAAAAAAAGGGATTAAAAGTAACAAAGTGATGCTTCAAATCATTTTTTTCTGCAGCATTTAAGTTGGCACGTGGCTTGATTTCATATAATGACATATATATTTTATATCATGACATATATATTTCATATAATGACATATATAGTCCATATATGTGTGATATACACATGTGAACAAAGAAAACCAATGAGCCAAGCTCTCCCAGAATCCTGAGGGCCTGAAAGGAATGAGCTTTAAAAGATCAATACCTAAGCTCTTTTGCTTTGCTTTCTGGTTTCTGAGTCCCTAGAACAGGCCCACCTCACCTTGTCAAGCAGCAGTGAGAGTTAGTGCCTCGCTACCTCGAGTCTTATTCTTTTTAACAGAGATTTTTCACACTGTTTCTTGATTCCAGCAGCTGAGGCTCCAGGGAAATTGCCACGGAGAATGAGTGCTGCAGTGTAATTACAAGAGCTGGCAGCGCTGGTAGCAACAGAACTGGACCCCATCCAAGCTGCAGTGCAACATCCCAGTTGCCATCAGTGGGAAACACACTTGGAGAATAGGCCTCATTGTTTGGAAGATTAAAAATTGACAAAAATTACAGCAAACGAGTTCCAAACATCCTTCATGTTTCTTACGAAAGCCTGCAGAGCCAGACCTCTCTAATGTGCCACTGAGCAAAATTACCACATCCACAATGGAAGCACTGTTTGTCCTGACAACTGCAAGAATACAGGCCATTTCATTAGCAGTGTTACAAATGGGTTTGGCTGGCTCAGGCCTGGGTGTTGGATAGAGTTTGCATTGTGCAGTTAAGGAGGTTATACTTCACTGGAAGCCTTTTTCATTTTGGTATGGTTTAATTCTAGCTTCTAAGCTCCAAGCTTAAACTTTCACAAGGCTCGTGAGCCAATATAACTGCTCCTAAAATTAGTGTTTCATTAAGCTTTTGCACTGCCTGAGACAGAAAACTACTGTAACACCTTTAGGAACAATCAAGAAACCACTTACAGATAAACATAGGTGTACATGGATAAATGTTTACCTTCTAAAAGCAAAGGCTGAAGTCAGTTGGAAATGTATACTCACAAGTGTGGGTTGAAGACAGCTTGAATTCCTTGTGCACAGTGCACAAAGCAGCTCCACCCCTCTTTATAACCACTAAAATGCGTTCAAGACGGGCTAAACCTGATACATATTTCAGATTCATACTTTAGACATAAAGTTGCAGCCCTATGCTACTTTCTTTTCCTCCCCACTCCCCTTCCCGCGCTCAGCAGGACTGTACTTGGGAGGATTTATGGCCTCTTACCTCGGGTCTGCAATTGTGTTATAGGGAAGGATAAAACCACTTTGCCACCAGGGAGGTTTTCAGCCGAATTCAGCCAATTCTGATCTGTTCCCGTTCAATTTGATCGAAGTGGAATTGACTCCCACTATTCGAACCTAGAGACGAGCTAGATAAAAAGAACATAAATAAACCCGACTACAAACAGGGAGTTTCAAAGCCAAAAGCTTTAGAGACTTTTACTGAAAGCTCCCATATGCTTCCTCTTTGACTTAACGTGGGGTTTTCTTTCTGAGGGAGTTCAGCCAGAGCAGGGCCATGGTGTGTGCATCCCCATCTGCTTGCCGGGATATGGCTTGTTTAGAGAACTGCTTAATCCAGGCTGGAAATTGAAAGGTAAACGTTAAATATTTAACAAACTAAACTCAGAATATCAGCCAGGAAGGGTGGCCTTATTTGTTGCTATAAGCTGATCTGTTTACGGAGCAGAAAGCAGCAACTCCCAATGCAGAAAGCAGCAAATCCCAATGTTTCTTGTTCCGGAGCAGTCGCTAACCGCCCGCTAATGGATGCGCTGTTGTCCTGGTGCCCCGTCTTAGGGTTTGGCAAACATTTATTGCTTACTTTGGAGATGGCTTTGGAACATTTCCTCACAAAGAGCACCGAGCCATTTGCTTCAAATATTAGCTCCAAAGGGGATTTTTTCCCCCCCCTTATTTCTTTAGGTTTTTCCTTCTCAGTGCACAAAGGCACGGGTTCAAGTGAGGGAGGACAAACCTCGAGGGCCCTGCTTGTCCTTGTACCCCCCCCAGCCCACACACAGTGCACAACCCCTATCATTTCCCTTATGCTAAAGGCATAACTACATCTTAAATACCTCACTACGTCCTTAAACGACTTCCATGGGGCTGCTAGCGCGGACTGAAAGCACCTCGGGAAGGGGATAGCCACGAGCCCAACGCAGAGCTGAGGGAAGCCTGCCCCTGCTCATGGCGGCTGCGGGGAGGGAGGACCCTTCCCCACCAGGGTCTGCATGGAGGGGGAGCACCCACCCCTGCTTGCTTCTCCCCTCACGCTGGGTTTGCCCTCATCGATGCAGTAAGTTATGCTTGTCCTTCGGGTTGGGTTTAGCCAGGCCATGACACACCATTAGGCCGAAGAACCAGCTAGGCCGCGCTCCCCTCCACCCCCCCTCACAGCCCCCCCCCCCCCCCAAAAAAGGGGGACCTGCACCCCCAAACCTCCCCCAGGCACTAAAGAAGGTCTCAAGTTGATGCTTGCTTACAAAGAGCACCATAGGAGCCATGTTTTACCTCAGGGATGAGCCCTGTCCTCAACAGCCCCCCAGGGCCGGGGCGCCTGCGTCTGAGGGGAGCCACAGGGGTGTGGGGTGAGGGGGGGGGGGGGAGAGGAAAAGAGTATTATTATTGTTATTATTATTATATTATTATTATTATCAATCATTTAAAGCATGATTTCAGCCACCCATCGCTCCCTCGGGGGCTGAAGTGGGTCTGTGTGGGTTACTGTGGGGCAGACGTGCTTGCCAACACTGGCATAAACCAATGCAGCTTGTCAATGGGAGGGGCGGGAGGGCTGCGGTGCCCGGGGGGCAGCCGAGGGGTGCTGCTGCGGGGCTGCGCCATTACCGTGCTTTAATAACCCATTAATGACTTAATTTCATGCTAATTAGTTTGTAAGGATGACTTTCCCGCCTTTCCGCCCGCTGCCGCTTTCAAAGCGGGGTGGGAGGCCAGGGAGCGCCTCGGCCTCCTGATGAATAATTAATGAGGTCCCCACCAATCCGCAGCCGGAGAGCGCGGCGTGGCCACGCCCCCCTCGTGAATAATTAACGCCTTTGGGCCGCCATGTCAGCAGCAGCGGCGGGGGGGGGTGGTACTGGTGGGGCTGCGGGTTCGAGGCTGGCCTCGGCTCCTTGTGGGGCGAGCGGGCTCCTTGTGGGGTGAGCGGGCTCCTTGTAGGGTGAGCGGGCTCCTTGTGGGGCGAGCGGGCTCCTTGTGGGGTGAGCGGGCTCCCTGCGGCGGTTCGGTGTCCGCGGGCCTCCCACCGGGGTGAGTGGTTGGTGACGGGCTCTGAAGTGCAGTGGGGTTTGTGTGTGGGCACATGGGTACCACCAGGAGCATCTCTGCAGGTTACGGGTTTTAGGACGCCTATGGAATCATGGAATGAATCCCAGATCGGTTTGGGTTGAAGGGACCTTAAAGCTCATCCATTTCCAACCCCTGCCGTCTCAATCTCCCCTCTGGCAGGTTAAAGCCATTCCCCTTGTCCTGTCCCTACAGGCTTCCTGTATCCCCTTTAGGCACTGGAGCTGCTCTAAGGTCTCCTGTATGTCTTGGGACAAAGCTATAGCGTTGTAAATTAAACCCATGGCACAACATCAGTTAGCAGAGGCTGTGCTGCGTGCACCAAGCAGTTGGGAATCGCTGTGCAGCAGGGAGGATGCTTGTGCTGTGAAGCAGCGTTGGCCCGTGGTGCTGCGATGCGAACACCGTGGCAAGCCGCCGTGCTTTGTGTAGGGCAGCGAGCAGTTGGTATTCACTAAAAAGCTCGTTTAAAATAACGATTTCCTTTTACAAACCCTGCCTCCGAGGTAGCTACCTATAAATAACTGCTTCTGTCGGGGATAAGTGAGTGAAACCCTCGGGAGAGGTTTTCCTGCTGCTCCCAAGGCACTTCCCATACGATGGCAGCAGAGGGCTGCAGCTCGATTAAAGGACTGCTCCCTGTAGGGTTTTCTCCCCCTCAAAGACTGTTTGGGTTGGAACTTCATTGGAGGAAGAGCTTTCCTTAGCGAAACTGGAATAGCAACGAAGCAAAGGTCACGCCAAACCGAATGAGGAATGGTACGGCATCATTTGGTGTTAATGATAAATGATAATGCTGCTTAAAGGAACGGCGTCGAGAGTGGGAATTACGATGATGGAACCCCGATGGCAGGATTTTTGCTGAGGAGGTGAATTAGACAAACGTGCCTCCAAGGCATCATCACAGCCTGAGCAGACAGCGGGGCAGCACCAGCTACGTACAGCCTAAAGCCTTGCAGTATCCCTCTTCCTTTTGCCGTGTGGGAGACAGCCAGCAGTATCCCTGCCGACTACCCCTTCCTGCAGCTGGGTTGTGCCTCTGTTAACCCTTCACTCCTCCTCCTCATCCCCACCCCTGTTTCCTGGTCTGTGCCTCTGTTCCATCACAAGAGAGTTGCATTCCAGGAATGCCGGGATAAAGGATTTCAGACGTGTTCATTTATGCCCGGACCAATGTTTCCAGTGGTTCCCCCACTGCTTGGGGAAAGAATATAATAAAATGGGGCACGTATGGAACATTCTGCTACAGCTTTCTGGAGCCTGACAGCGGTTTAAGGGTTTCCTGTGTCCAAACTCACATCCAAACATGTTTAATGTGCAGTGATGGACCTACATTTAACTCCATAGTGATGGGCATAATGAAGGACCACAGCAGCACCACTGCGTTCTGCAGTTTAATTGCATTCCGGGGTAAAAGTATTATCTCCTGTTTGGTTTAAATTGGTTGAATGAGTCACGGTTGATTTCTTCTCCCATTTGAGGCTCTAATCTCGTCGCTGTTTGTAAACTGGTTTGAGCTGACAGGATGAAAGCTAATAAGGGAAATATACAATTGAGTTGCTCTAAACTCGGGTGATGGTTCTGTTGGAGCGCTAACGGCTTATTCTATGCAGGAGGGGCTTTGCCTTGTGTACCTAATTTATCCTTGCCCTGCCTACACCAAACGTGTGAGCATCATGATGTAACCGGTAAAAATACCAGCTCTGTCTCTGGTGCTCTGCTCCTGCTGGGGACAGAAACAGCGGCAGTGGGCATGAGCCTGTTGGGCACCTAAACCCCATAGGAGGCTCGGAGGTAAATGTGCTGTGTGTGAGCATGTCATTAAACCATAGACTCACAGAGTGCTTTGTGTTGAAGGGACCTTAAGGTCATTCAGTTCTAATCCTCTGCCACGGGCAGGGACCCCTTCCATAGAGCAGCTTGCTCCAAGCCCCTGTGTCCAACCTGGCCTTGAGCACTGCCAGGGATGGGGCAGCCACAGCTTCTCTGGGCACCCTGTGCCAGCGCCTCAGCACCCTCACAGGGAAGAAGAGCTTCTGCCTAAGACTTCAAAGTCATTTTAGTGTGTGTAAGAGATGGAAACCACCAGCTCCTGGGATGGATGTGCCTGATACTTGCAGTCACCTTAGCAAGTGATTCCAGCCTGCACTGAACACCCCTTTCCCCCCAAGCCTCTGTAAGTATCTCACAAATCCCAGCCCATTTACAATTTGTTTGTGACAAAGGAAGTTATTCCCATCCTTCCTTCCCAAGGGAAGCAACACAAAGACATTTAATATACAACCAAGTGAGGAGTTGAGGAGCCCTCATTCCCTGCTCCCAATTGCGACCAAAGCTTCATTCCCCAGCCCTTGTCAAATGCAGCTTCAAAGCTGTGCATCTATTTGAGGTTTTATTCCACCACCCACGGGCCCTTTTGTAGAGCAATCTGCTCCCTGCTTGTTCACCATGCTCTCCACTCCGGGTCTGCATCCTGTTGGAGCTGAGGTTACCTGGCCAGGGCACAAACCCGTGTTCATTTGTGTAATGGATCAGGTATTTCCCCCTTTCCCCTGTTTCTGGAAGAGGGTTTGAAAACCATTTGGGATGAAACCTGTTTGCTGAGAGCTGGCTATTTATATTTCTGCTTATTTATATATTATAGGGTATTTGCTTATATATGTATGTGTATATATATATAAATGGAATATATATATACAGTTCCTAATTATGTATCTGCTACTTTTCTGCTGGAAAAAAATAGAACAAGGCATTGGGGTAGTTGAATTCTGTTCTGAGGCTGGAATTAACTCTTAGCTGTCCCTATTGTGGTTGTTTCCAGCCTGGAAAAGAATTCTGGGGAAGAGGGGATGGGCAGGGTGTGAGGGGCTTGGGAAGGTCAATGGGGAAATGGGAAGAAGCAGATACATTGCCCCTTTTTCCACTACTGCAGCACAGTTGTAGCCAGCAGGGACAAAGTTCTGCTTCGAAAAGGAAGGATTTAGCTCCTCGAGGAGCATCAAGGCCAAGAATGGGAGCTATAGATGCTATGGAACAGCCCCAGGCTGGGGAGTGGAAACAGCCCCAGGTGCAACATGGTGTGTTCCTGTTCACACATCACAGCCAAGCAGCTGGGATACCAGGAGCTGCTTTTATGACAGCTCTGTCCCCTGTGCACATCATCCTCTCTCAGTGTGTCTCTAATGATCTTTTCTCTTGTAGGGGGTGTGAAGCAGGACCCAACTGCTCCAGTTTTGGTGCCAGCTTGGCTATTTCTACGTGACACAGCAGTTTGCAGAGGAAGAGCATGGAATATGGGTAAGTCCTTGTTCTGGCTGTGCCCTTAGCAGCTACTCTGGGTGTAACACACAGGAGCAGTGCTGTCAAAGCTCCCACAGAAATCAATCTATCGATGGCACAAAAGCCATTCCCTACAGTTCATCATCTCCTTTCATCACTGCATCGTGCTAATTTGTTCACACTTTTCATGTACAGTAGCAAAGGAAGCCCAAACACAGAGGTGCTCCCCAGAGCTTCCAGGTAATGACCCTGAAAGTGCTTCAGGGTTTTAACTACTGTCAAAACCAGGCCAAGCAAATTATAGCCTTGATTCAAACCCCAATTACACTCGTTTTTATCCCAGCTATGTCCTGGGAACACCTCCTGATAATGATGTCTTACTGCTCAGGCAGCAGAGGACGTCTTCAAAACCCTTTGTGTTCTCATAGCATCCATTAAGAGAATACAAGAGGAAAATCACTCCTAGAAGTTCACATAACCAGAGCAGTCATCTTTTGCATGGTTTATTTTGAAAACAAAGCAGTCCAAAAGGGAGATTTTTCTTGTTTAATAATAAGATTGTATTCCATGCAGCTACTCCATAGTAAATACCTTGCATTAAAAGACAGTTAAAGTGCCTTTAGTCCCTCGAAATAGTCCAGCTGTGCTGTAAATTCAAGTATGTGGAAAATAGGCCTTTAGTTATTAAGGGAATATGTTTTGATCAGGGTCCTGCTCCCACTGATGTCAAAAATGGGGGGGTGGGGGTGTTTAGCCTCCCTTCCATAGGAGCAGACCCCACCTCACGCTGGTCTCTGACAAGCCCTGTGCTGTGTTTGCCCACTTGCTGAGTGGCCAAGGGGCAGCTTCTTGATGGCATTTTCTGCCTTATGCCCAATGACACACTCAGCACTTGCAGGGTGCTTGGAGAGACAAACGAGGAGCCACAGCACTTGGTTGTGGTTTGCATCTTTAACCAGCTGAGCACTGGGCTGAGCACAGCCAGCAGCCCGTATGAGAGCTCTAACTTAGGTCGATATGCACACATATGTTACGCAGGCTGAAGCAAGCCCAAACCCAACCCAGAGGGAAACCCCAGGATGTGGCTAGAGAAGCCCCAAGATTCAAAGCAAAATCCAACTCTTTTTATGTTGTAGTCCCCATCATCCTGTTCTTGCTCCAGCACTCCAGACTAGCAAGATTAACCAGCATCTTGAAGTCAGAGTTTGACAGGCAGGACAGGGATATTGATCCTGATGCTTTTGACTTGGTGCAGCCAGCATTGTACTTGCAGCCAGCCTCTTCTCTTCAACCTTAGAGGAGCACCTCTTGATGGCAAAGGCATTTTTCTCTTTCTTCTAGGCATTGGCAACGTTACCATTGGGGTTTCCTGAATTTAAGAGACAACCTCTTCTCTTCCACTCTCCCAGATGTGAACTTCAAGTGCCCAGAGTTAGACCTCACATCAAAAGGCAGGACAGAATATGTTACCCTCCTTGAGACACAGAATGTAAGCGCCTTGCTTCTCCAGGCTGGGCACTGAGAGATGCTGGTTGGCTCCAAACCTTCAGCTCAGAGCACGACTATGGGCAGAAACGTCTCTATCTACTCTACCCCAAGATCTTAGAGATGATGAATTGGAGCTGTTAATGCTCTACTTGACAGTACCCTGAACTATCTTCTTCAGTGGAAGAGACAGCAAACATCTGGTGCATGGCTGCAGAACAGCCTGCTTTGGTTTCTTTCTTTCCTTAAAGGAAAAAGAACCATTTGAAACGGTCTTTTTCCCTCCAGGCACTCAGAACTTGGCCTCTCCCCTCAATGCAGGTGTTTCCCATATCTCAGCCATTGCTGTGCAAGGCACTTGGATGTTGTTGTTCTCCACCTGAGCACCTGATCCTCTTCTGAATCCTTCCAAGACCCTGGCTGCAGTAATGCCCCAGTGGTTTACACAGCTTTATACATTATTTAAAGTCTGTTTTCTTTCAAATTCCCAGCATTTCAGAACCCTTGGATATTACCCAGCATTTCCAGGGCTTGTGGATGAGGAGGAGTACCCCAAATCTTCCTGTTCCTATGTGTGCATGGTCAGAAAAATAAGCAAACCAAGGCCATTATTTGAAAAGAGTTAAATCCAGAGCAAATTCCTTACCAGCTCAAAATCATTTCAAAGGAGATCAGATCCTGGACATAAACTAGATGAAAGCATCCCTTTGAATTCTTTCTCCTCCAAGGATACAGGGGGAAAGGCAACCTTCCAGCTGAAAGCTTCATTTGGGCATAAAGTTTCTCTTCAAACTATGTCTAAAGAGGGACTTTGTCTGGGCTAGTACAACTCGGCACGACTCTGACTTAGCCAGTTAGAGCATCTTGGTGCCTTTATGCCATAAGATGAGCCATATCTCCCTAGTGGCTATGTAGGAGATAGTAGAATCTGGGTGTAAATGCCACAAAGCATCCCTATTTGTCTTGAATGGCTATAGGAGTCAGCAGATGAGAAGGAAAACACAAACTAGACAGCCCCTGCCTTTGGCAGCATCCCCCACCAATGGCAGCTGGACCAGGCAGGGGAGGAAATTTGCACCAAACCCATGATTATCAGAATAAATAAATGAGGATCAAGAGAAAATGAATTAAAAAAGGGGGAAAAGGCCCCATACACCCAACACCTTTGTTGGGGGGAGGAAACTTTTACCTTCCACTGGACTTTGGCCTCCTTTGTTTTTAACAGGAGCTTTCCTCAGTTTAGAGCCCAAGCTCTGTCTGTGGAAGCAGGGGGGAGTATGTATAACCTTTAGTCTTAGTATAGCCTTAGTGTGGAATTCGATGGCACAGAAGGAGTAGGAAACCCTGAGAGGTCTCGTGTCTGAGCCCTTCGCTAGGGTCAGAGGCTGGAATCATTCTGTGCACAAACCCAGACCAGGGACCTATGGCAGGCAAAATAAACCAGTAGAAGCAATCCACTGCCTCCAGAAGGCTCTGAACCCAGGATATTCGATGGGGTGAAGCCACCAGCGTGTGCCTTCACTCCTTATTTCTGTGCCGTGCCCACGGAGGCGTTTGGATTCCCTGCAGGACTGAGCCTGTGGGAGGACTCTGTTTCACTCGTGCGCTGTCCCCATCCTCCTCCACCACATCCCACTCTGTTCCTGCCGGATTAGTGGCCACAGCTCCAGGGTGTGTTCTGAAGGAATCCAAGCTGTCTGCAATCACACTGTCTGCTTTAGGGCAAGGGTTATCATTAGGGAAATAGCAAACTAATGAGATGCCAGAAAGTGCTTCAGAGCCATTGGCTCACAAACATCCTGAAGGGGAGTCCTCTGCAGGGTTTTGCTGTTAAGACAGAGCAGGTTTCTCTTTCTCCCAGGCAAGGGGTAGAAGCTGTTGCTTTGAAAGGAGGGGAAGGCAGGGAGTTGAAGGCTGCAGGCTTCTCAGCTGCAAAGACAAAGCTAAATGTTGCCTGCCACAAAAGGAGGGGGGAGAGGAGAAAGGGATGGAGATGGGAGAGAAGAGAAAGGGATGGAGACCGGAGAGAAGAGAAAGGGATGGAGATGGGAGAGAGGAGAATGGGATGGAGATGGGAGAGAGGAGAATGGGATGGAGATGGGAGAGAGGAGAAAGGGATGGAGATGGGAGAGAGGAGAAAGGGATGGAGATGGGAGAGAGGAGAAAGGGATGGAGAGGGGAGAGAGGAGAAAGGGATGGAGAGGGGAGAGAGGAGAAGACAAAGGGATGGAGATGGGAGAGAAAAGAAGAGAAAGGGGTGGAGATGGGAGAGAAGAGAAAAGGATGGAGAGGGGAGAGAGGAGAAAGGGATGGAGATGGGGGAGAAGAGAAAGGGATGGAGAGGGGAGAGAGGAGAAGACAAAGGGATGGAGATGGGAGAGAAAAGAAGAGAAAGGGGTGGAGATGGGAGAGAAGAGAAAAGGATGGAGAGGGGAGAGAGGAGAAAGGGATGGAGATGGGGGAGAAGAGAAAGGGATGGAGATGGGAGACAAGAGACAGGAATGGAGATTTGAGAGAAGAGACAAGGATGGAGATAGGAGAGAGGAGAAAGGGATGAAGATGGGAGAGGGTTGGTGAGCCCTGGGAGCCAGCCTTAACCTCTCCTGGGCCACCACCAGCACCTCTCCAGCCTCTCCATGGAGATGAGCGAATCAGCCCAGCTTTCCTGAGTGCAGGCAGCAAAAAGCATCGGGTTTGCTGTCCCCAAAAGCTTCCTGCTTGAGGCAACCCCATGTTTTGCCCATAACAAGATTTCTTCCCCCTTTGCTGCCCCTGTAAGGCTCCCGGTGGAGGAGGGAAGAGGTCAGCCAACACAGCGGGGAAAAACCCAGCCACAAACCCTAAACCCCACTGTGAGCTGAAGAGCTGAGTGCACTTCTTTCCACCCCGCATCCAGGGCTACAGCCAGTCCAATGTCCACAGCCAACTGCCATCCCTGCAGGCTCTGCTATCCCGTGAGGAATCCAGGTAAATCCAGCCCCACATCACCCCGCCTCACTCTTCAAATGCTCCATTGGGTCTTTTTTTGCCTCTACTCGCTCTTTCTTTTCCAAGAGGGGAAAGACTTTGCAATAGGATAACAGAAGACTCCAACACTTGAGACATGGGAGGTTTGAGGTGCAGGGGGGGGAAGAAACGCTCAGCACTGTTCTGCTTCCACAAAGCCCTCCTTCTCCTGGCTGGCTGGTTCCACCTCGGAGTACGTTGCGTGGTTGCTGTGATTTCGGAACTTCATGGCAGGCCAGTGATGTGGCCTTCGCTGGGGACAGAAACAAAGAGCCATCAGAAGCTATGGCAGAGCCCTTCACGCCAAGCCCGCAGGGAAGTTGGAGTCTTGGTCCTGAAACAAGAACGGTCTTTGTGGAAGTAATAAATGCTAACAAATACCTTCGTGCTTAACCCCGTTCATCCCAACACATCCATCTCGCTGAGCTGACCCACTGCTAAGGTTAAAATGGGGCAGGAAATGGAAGCTTGAAGTGAAACCTCGCATCAGCCTCAGAACAAGGATGCGCTGTGCCAGGGGTGGCAGCCGAGCACGGCCACCCCACACAAGCCAGCTTTGTGTGTCCTCTATCAGCAGAGCAGGGATGACTGCATTGCCCCATCCCAGCCGGGTGCAGGTGAATGCATCCAACACTGCCAAGTGCTGCTAGACTGGTAGAGGCCACGTAGCTCAATTCCCTTGCAAACAGGGCACATGGAGCAAAGCCAAGTGCTCAAGGAAAAAGCCAGGGAGCGATAAGGAAAGGCTGAGGGTTCAGTGTTGCTCACTCCCTCCGCAGCAGCTCCTACGCCAGGATTCAGCCCACTTCTGCCTGCCTTGGGATCCTGCAGCAAGCGGTCTTCTGGCTTTAAACAGCAGATGGAGACGGTTGGACCCCCATCATTGTGTGAATTAAAACCTTCTCTTTAGAGCCTTCACACCACCACTTACACAGTAGCTGATGGCGTGCCACCTAGCAGTAAAACCTGACAATTTTAGTCCCCAGAATCCAGCTGGGTGACTCAAAAGGCAGCGAGCTCAAGCATGTCGTGGCTCCAAGCGAGCCCTCCGACTGCGTGTCGACGGCTCCTGCAAGCAGGTGGAAGAGGGGAACGTCACATGGGGGAAAAGAAAAGGCAATGTGTGAAAGAGAGCATGTGAAAGGGAGCAAAATAACACCGTGTGGGAGGGGAGAGCCTAAGTTTAAAACATCATCAGCTGGAGGTTGGGAGATTAGCTCTGACTGTAGGACCACGAAAAGAAACCCAGTCTGGACTCCATCAACGCTCCTCTTTGCTCTCCTGTAGAAGGTTGGGATTTGGGGTGATAGCAGAGGGAACCAGGCGAGGGATCAGGTTCTGCACTCACCTCAATGAAGAAGAGGGCAGCGGTGGACGTGGGGTGGCTGTTGATGTAAATGCCAGCGAGGATGATGACTGCGATGAGCAGCACGGCCAGGACGATCCCCACGATGGTGCCGGTGTGGATCGGGGCGCTGGCTTGCTTGGAAGGAAGGCTGCTTCCCAGCCCTGCAAGAAAGGGGTCACTTCAGTCTGGAACTGTGCCGGGACCTCGGGGGAAAAAGGAAGGGAAAGGCAAGGGAAGAGCTTTCAGAGCTCTGCACGTAAGACTGAGCACCTCAACCAGCTCCTGCCTGGCTCAACGAGAGGGGAGGAGGCACCAAAGGGCTGTCCGGGCTCCAGCATCCCTTCCAGAGGATACAGGGGGCTGGTTTGAAGGCAGATTAAACCAGCACCATGCAGAACCCCATCTCCAATCCGTATGCTTTATAGATTGGCTGCTCACTCTGCTGGAAAGCCATTAGCCATATGCTGAGCTGTGCCTCCCTTGCCCTCGGTCCTCAGCTATGAATATACAAAAGAGGATGGAGGTGGCACTTCTGAACAGTGCCATTGCCACCATTTGGGGAGCAGTTTGGCTGCAACTGGGAAGCTGAAGCATTCCAAGGGCCCCGTGCCTGCAAAGGAGCCCATCCTGCGCCCAGTTTAACTTCCCTAAGCTGCTTCCAGGTGAGCGGAATGGGCTCGGGGTTTGCACAGACCACAGTGCTTGCAAACCTGACATCGGGTGAAGAGGGCTCAGATCCTTCCCATACTCTGGAATAAGTCAGAGCCTTAGGGCAACAGTTTGGTTCCCTGCCCTTGGGGCCGATGAACAGACTTTGAGTGAGAAAGGATTCATTGGAACAGGGATGAAAAAGGCAGAGCTGGGCTGAAGGACACTTCATATTTGGACTTTACGCTGCTCTTTGGCACAGCTGAAGAAATTCAAAAGGAAAAAGGACTTTGTCTGTGCAAAAACTGCAGGGAAAGGGAATTACGTGGAAAGAGAAAACTCATCATCTTCGTTTGCACAGCAGGACTAAGCGGGAGAAGCAGACAAACAGCAGCAGGGTAAAAGAGATTTGGCCTGACTCTCACTTTCCACTCTCTGCCATGGTACTAATCAGGGTAAGGACAAGAGGAGCCTTATCTTGACTCCATCCTCTCCGCTCCAGCTGCCCACCCTTTCCACCCTGCAGCTCCCGGTGGATTTGATTTCACTTGGAACGCCTGGGAGCAGGCAGGGGGAGGATGAAGGCCTTACCTTCACTGCCTGCGTACTGAGTGAGCTTCGTGTCATCTGAAAGAACAAAACACAGGCAAATAAAGTTAGGAGGCACCGAGGACGTTCTGCAGCTTCCCACCCGCTCCCACTATGGTGTTTGCAGCAATGAGTTGCTAATACAGGATCCCAGCCTGGTTTGGGTTGGAAGGGACCTTAAAGCTCCTCCAGTTCCAGGGACCCCTTCCACTGGAGCAGCTTGCTCCAAGCCCCTGTGTCCAACCTGGCCTTGAACACTGCCAGGGATGGGGCAGCCACAGCTTCTCTGGGCACCCTGTGCCAGCGCCTCAGCACCCTCACAGGAAAATTAAGGCTTCTTTATAGCAAGTTCTCAGTCATGGTGCCCATACAGCCCGACTAAATCAATGGGATGGTGTTACATTATAGATGTCTTCCGTGGAGGCCCAAAATCCAATCCCATTTTCAATCTCATTCTGGAAGAACTGGGATATCTCACACAAGGCATCGCATCTTGACGGGCTCCACATCAGCACCCTCACGTGTCCAGCTGGAATCTCACTGCTTGGCTTCCACGCTGACACATGGCCCATCCACAAACACCCCCATGAGCGGCTCCAGCGAGATGGGGAGGAGGATGCATGGGGTGGCTCCATCCTCGTCCTCTCTGCTTCCTTGGCGGTGCGTCTCCAGATGAAGCTCGCTGCCTGATGCAGCTGGATGAGTGTTTGCTTCCAAGAGCACAAATGAGCTCCATGCCTGGCTCTGTCCCAGAAAAGCCTCTTGTTCTTCTTCCAAGAACCGGCGATGAGTTGGGAAATCATCTCAGCCCTGGTGTCGTGCTCCCCCCTTCCCTTTAATTGCTCCTTTCAAAGTCAGCTCTGTCAGCACGGGCTCCGTTCACCCACCCAGCTCCTTCCCATTGCTGAAGGACAATTAGGAGTGCTCCTTTCTATTCATTCTAATTAGCAGTTTGCTTTAGGGACTATTAAGCAGGCAAATGGAAGCGATACCTGCCGCTAGGATCCGAGGAGCCAGCCCTGTGTTAATAGGATTATCAAGCTTTAGACCATGGGTGTCTCGAGGGACACTCAGGGCCTTGTGTGGAGCTTTCCTTGCGCTGGAATCAACACCATTCCCAAGCAGAGGGCAATCACAACCCTGTGTTATTGCCACTCTGATTGTCCTGGCAGCCCTGAGCCACCAGCTAAGACCAAGCACATTAAAAGCAGGAGCCCTATATACTGTATTAACCCCTGCTATGATGCTGGGGTTCTCCCCACCAGGTACCAGCTGCTTGTGGACATTCTTGAACACCCAAACCAGCTGCAATGCAACTGTAAGACTCTCCCCACAGATGGGTTTCCTCTCCTCCTTTGCCACATCACCCCTCTCACCTTCTCCTTCCCATTGCCTCCTGTACTCTCCCCAACCCTTGTGCTTCAAAACCTGCTTGCTCTTGGATTTAACTGGATAAGAATGGGCTCTGGAGTGGGGTAAGCATCAGGGAGGCGGTACCCACGTGCTGGTCCCTACCTTCTGTAGTGAGGCTGTCAATGAAGAGCGAGGACGTGGAGGTGGTGATGTCCTCATCCAGCGGGGAGGAAGAGCTCTCAGGAGGTGCTGAGTAGTGCTCACCGGCTGCTAAATCCTCACAGGTCTTCTCCTCAGCCTGGGAAGGAAACAGACAGGAGCCACTTTTGCCCTTGCTCTCCTCCAGCAGGAGCATCAGTGGGCACCGGACTCCGCTTCCCAGGCTTGGGACTACCGAGCCCGAGGGCTTCCAACACTGGAGTGGAAGCAGAGGATGTGGTCCAGAAGTATGGAGGGGGCTGACCTAGGGGTTAGAGGAGGAAAAGGTTGGGAACTGGTTAAGCAGGCCAAGGTCTGACCTTCTTGCATCACTGGGTGACCTTACATAGGTCCTGTGACCCCCTTTCCCCTCACTCAAGCCTCTCGGTTAAGAGGGAACAAAGCTGGGTTTTCAGAGGGAGGAGAAAGAAAGAAAAGCAACCCAAAGCAGAACCAGATGTTTCCTTAGAGCTGATCTTTCCGAGACAAAGAAACTGGTTCATCCAGCGTGGAGATAATTGGAGAGCAAAGAAAGTCACAAGGATTAATTCCTTCATGCTCGAGAGTGAGTAAGAGTCATGCTTCAGAAGGTGAAGAAAAACACATCCCAGAGCACTCCGACTGCACCACTTGGTAACTTAAGGAGGTCTCTGCACCTCTGCTGAATACCCAGCACCAGGGAAGCAAGACAGCAGCAAAGCAAACCCTGTGTGAGATGGACCAGCTTTTACCCGTTCCCATACAGACACCCAAGTGGATCGGTGGTCCTGCTCTAACGGGAAAGGGGTATCTAAAGGGATGCTCAGCCTATTCCAGGTGTGGGTTAAGTGGAGCCGAGTGTGACTTTTAGGGGATGTGGCCATTGGTTTTGCTGCAGATCAGCATCATCCCTAGCAGAGGACCTAAAAGTGACTCTTGCCCCAGCCTCACCTTCTGCCCGCAGCCATAGGAGAGCCACTCCTCACGGTATCGGTCAAAGCCACTGGAACATCTGTGGGCAAGAGCAGAATTAACCTGGGCCAGAGGAATTCGAGGGACACGGCAATGTTAAAGCTCCTTTGCCTGCTGGGGGGGCACTGGTAGGGATTCCCAAGCCGCCCAAGAGTCCCAAATGCTGCCCTGATGGGTGTTCAGACAAATAACAGAGGGCTGGAAAGAGGAGATACAGGTTGACATGGGGATGTTGTATCTCCTAATACAGCTGCGCTGGAAGGACCCCAATGTTCCTCTTCATGGAGGAGGAAAAGGGTCAGCACCGCTTCTCCAAGGGGAACAGAGAAGCAGAGAACTGGGAAAAATATATGGCCTGACTTGGGCTTTCCATTCCCTGGACCCTGCCGTGATCTCCACGAGGGTTTTGTGGGGTTTTTCCAGCACCATCTGCACAGGAAAAACACATTAAAGGAATTATAAATGAGCTCAGGAAAACACCAGCTCGAGAAATCCCTACAGAAAGAGAGGGAATGGAGGAGCACTCTGACCTTTGGGAGGTCTCTGGGGACACCAAGCCGTGAATCAGGGGTTCAGAGCTCACGCAAGCACTGATTTACCCAACGACCAAGCACGAAAAGGAGGAGAAACCACAAAAACCCCACTCCAGGTCCTGCTGAGTCGCTGGGATCTTTGCTTAAGGTGCTGTTCCGGTGACAGTTATGGGCTCAGCAAAAGCAAAAGCACAAACCCCACTGTCCAGAGGTGAGGTACGGGGTTAACGCTGGGGTTAAATCACTGCATTCACTCCCTGGAAGCCACCCGACCCATTTCCCATTGGGAAAGATCATGTTGGCTTTGCAAAGCCAACCTGGTTGAAAGCCAGCAAGAGAGCAGCAGGCTTGCTCCAGCTCGCCATGTGTCCTGGCCGTGTGTAACCTCAGCTCCTCGGGATGGAGCTGCCAACACGCAGTTACGGCTGTGGGAAGCGTGGCCTTTAGCCAGCACAGGCAAGCATCTGGAGAGGGGCTTTGGACAAGGGCCTGTAGGGACAGGCCAAGGGGAATGGCTTTAACCTGCCCGAGGGGAGACTGAGATGAGCTCTTAGGCAGAAGCTCTTCCCTGTGAGGGTGCTGAGGCGCTGGCACAGGGTGCCCAGAGAAGCTGTGGCTGCCCCATCCCTGGCAGTGTTCAAGGCCAGGTTGGACACAGGGGCTTGGAGCAAGCTGCTCCAGTGGAAGGGGTCCCTGCCCGTGGCAGGGGTTGGAGCTGGATGAGCTTTAAGGTCCTTTCCAACCCAAACCAGGCTGGGATTCTATGAAACATGAGCAACAGTGACTTCGGTTTTGGAAGCTGGGGTTTGCAAACACCATGACTTTGGAATAAGCAGGATAGCAAAGCTCTGGAACCCTGAGGTTTCGGCCCAAACAAGACCCAGACTGAGCCACTGACCAACCCCAGGTTTGGTTTTGCTACAAAAGCCACATCTGCTTTCACACATCTCAGCTGCAAGAGCATCCCCTTCTCTGATCTGAAGGGCTACAGCAGGGGGGAACCACACTGAACCACACTGCCCTTGCAGGAGGTGGCTGGGGAAGGGGCCCAGCCTCTGAGCCTCCCTGGTTGATCCTGTGCTGCCTGTGAGGATCTGTGTTACTGGGTCCCCTCCCCTGCCACGAGCTCCAAATACAGATTTCAGCAGAATCTCATTAAACTCCTGCTCCCCATCACGCTGAAGGAGAGCACGGAGCAGGGATGCTGCATGGCAGGGCCAGCCTCATCCCTGCATCCTCTGTGCACCCCTAAACCAGCAGCAATAGCCCTCCCCTTGCTATGTCTCATCCCCAACAGGGAGAACACGGGAAGCATCCCCCTCTCTGTGACCTACCTGAGGCTGGAGCACATCCCAGCCTCCCTGCCCTGCACTTCAGGCTCAAATCACAGCCTAAAGCAGGACAAGTTTCCTCCCATTTAAACTTGCTGATTCACATCAGAAATGTGAATCTTGCTTCTGGTCCCAGCTTGTTCCAGCTGCTGCACTGAGACGGCAGGACCGAAAGCCCCAGGGTTGGGAAATGTCTCCTTTCAATGGCTTGTAACTGGAGACCAGCTCACAGCATCACCTGGGCTGTGAGCCTGAGAGCAGCCCCAGAAAGCACCAGAGAAAGGAAAAGAGTAATAAAAGCCCATGAGCCAAACCCGGAGCTGTGCTTGCACTCCCAGCTATAGGAACGTGAGCAAGAGAAGAGGTGGGGAGGAAACCCATCGCTGGTACCTCTGCAGGACGTGGCACCAGCTGCAGTTGAAGGTCAGCTCCGAGCTCACACACATTTCACAGCTCTGATGCTGGAGACAGGCTGTAAAAGAGAGAGGAGACACAGTGACCCAGCAGCATCTGCACGGGCACCATCCAGTGACACAGCAGCATCTGCACAGGCACCATCCAGTGACACAGCAGCATCTGCACGGGCACCATCCAGTGACACAGCAGCATCTGAACGGGCACCATCCAGTGACCCAGCAGCATCTGCACGGGCACCATCCAGTGACACAGCAGCATCTGCACGGGCACCATCCAGTGACCCAGCAGCATCTACACGGGCACCATCCAGTGACACAGCAGCATCTGCACGGGCACCATCCAGTGACCCAGCAGCATCTGCACCATCCAGTGACCCAGCAGCATCTGCACGGGCACCATCCAGTGACACAGCAGCATCTGCACAGGAGCATCCACTGTGTGCTGGTGCTGTGGGCAGACCCAAAGCATCAGCAGGTGAGTCTCTAACCCAGCCTCTCTGCTATGGGCCTGCAGACACCTCTCTAGCAGGATGAGCTCCCAGTCCATCTGCAAACCTCTTCCCATCCTGTTTAGCTGGGAGGTAAATCACATCTGGGACTTACAGCACTTCTATTGCACACAGGGTGTTGAGCAGAAGGAAGGGAGCGATACAGACAGTTTAACCCTCTGTTGCTGTGTCCATAGTACGTAGCTCTGCAAGAATACCTCCATCTGCAGAGGCTGACCTGCTTGGAGAGTCCAACCCTGGCTGGAAAAGGTGGTCTGTCACGAAAAGCCACAGAAACCGATGGTTTCCATGCCCCACACCTGCCCTCCTGCCCCGAATGAGCCTAAACATGAAGCCCCCAGGAGAAGAAGAGGCCTCCAGCTCCCCCCAGTCCTGTGGCTCCTCTGGAGATGCTGCTCTCAGCATCCCTGCCTGCTGGGGAAGACGAAAGAGCAGGGTTTAAGGAGAAGAAATAGGGTTATTGCTGGGTGCTTATTTATGATGTGCTCTGCGGTGACCCTGCTGCTGCTGACACTGTCACCCAATGCCCTAGGGAGGCCGTTCCCATCCATAACCCCGGGATCTCCGGACACATTCCCTCCCTGCTCTGTATCCATGGGCTTCGTGACGACTCGCACGTGTCCTTGGATCCCAGCACTAGAAATGGGGCTGCATCCCGAGATATTCCATCTGTGTGTGGAGGCATCCAGAACTGCTCATAGGCAGACCTGAAGTGAACCGGTGTCCAGCGGGATGAGCTGCAGCTTGTGGAGCAAAGGGAAGGAGGTCTGCAGGATGGGCAGCTGGGAAGAGCAGGGAAGAAGGAACTAAAGGCCTAGGGTGAAAGGGGATCCATTGATGAGCAGCAAGAGCCATCAACCCCACATGAGGCATGGTGCTGGCAGTGGCATGGAGCGTGGCCTGGGACCATGGTGCTTGGCACCACGGCTCTCATCGCTTAGCTGAGGAGTGCTGAGCAGTAGGGAAGGGAAATTGCCTTCAGACCCCTCCTTTCCCAGCTTTTCCCATGCCCGCTGGGCTTTGCTGCATCCCAGGCTCCCATCGTGGCTCCGGAGCAGGCAGCCCGGCACACACATGGGATATGGAGATCAACCCAAACAGGGCTGTAGGCACGAGATGGCAGGGGTTGGAACTGGATGATCTTAAGGTCCTTTCCAGCCCAAACCATTCTCTGTTCAGTGACAGCCACTCAGAGACCTTCAGGATAAGTGGGCGACCCTGGTTGATGCTCACCCTCCCTCCATAGCTCCCAGCCATCGCTTGGTGGGTGACAGCCACACAACCCCGGTACCCACTGAACCTGCCTCCTCCAGCCCTTGGCTCCACACAGGAGGCTGCTGTAGCTGATGGGTGAAACCATGGGAGGAGAACACCCTTCAGGGCACCACCCCAGCCGCATCGTCCCATCGCTGCGGTCCCCAAGTGTTCCCAGGGCCCCATTGCCCCATCACTGCGGTCCCCAAGTGTTCCCAGGGCCCCATTGCCCCATCACTGCGGTCCCCAAGTGTTCCCAGGGCCCCATTGCCCCATCACTGCGGTCCCCAAGTGTTCCCAGGGCCCCATTGCCCCATCACTGCAGTCCCCAAGTGTTCCTAGGGTCCCGTTGCCCCATCACTGTGGTACCCAAGCATCCCCAGGGCCCCGTTGCCCCATCACTGTGGTCCCCAAGCATCCCCAGGGCCCCATTGCCCCATCACTGTGGTACCCAAGCATCCCCAGGGCCCCACTGCCCCATCACTGCGGTCCCCAAGTGTTCCCAGGGCCCCATTGCCCCATCACTGCAGTCCCCAAGCATCCCCAGGGCCCCACTGCCCCATCACTGAGGTCCCCAGGTGTTCCTAGGGTCCCGTTGCCCCATCACTGTGGTCCCCAAGCATCTCCAGGGCCCCGTTGCCCCATCGCTGTGGTCCCCAAGCATCTCCAGGGCCCCGTTGCCCCATCACTGTGGTCCCCAAGCATCCCCAGGGCCCCGCTGTCCCATCACTGTGGTCCCCAAGCATCCCCAGGGCCCCATTGCCCCATCGCTGCGGTCCCCAAGCGTGCCTGACTCACTGGGCAGGGGGGTGAACTCCACAGCTGACAGGTTGCTGATCTTGCTGGTGTCCAGCTCCACGCGATGGTACTCGTAGATGGTCCGGCGGCGGGACTCTGAAACACGGAGCCTCGGCTATAGATGGGGCACGAACCCCCCCTCAGCACCCTTCTCCATCCTGCAAAGGGGGGTCCCCTGCTGCTGCTGCCTCCCAGTTGGAAAGCAAAGGTGGCCCCAGGTCTTGGGGTTGTTCCTGTGGGAGAGGAGAGTGCATGGAGGCTGCAGGGAATCACGGAACAGTTTGGGTTGGAAGCGACCTTCATCCTCCATCCCGTCTGCAATGAGCAGGGGCATTTCCAACCAGGGAGCGATGCAGGATGCGCTGCGGGGCAGAGGGATGTCGGGACACAGAGCTCCCCATCCCTGTTTGCTGGGAGGAGCTTGGAGCTCGCTGTGCCCCTGTCCCTGAGCAGAGGTGGCCGTGGTCCAGGCCAGCATCGCTCTAAACAAACACATTTCTCCTCAGTGACTCATGGGGCTGTGAACCAACCCCTGCTGCAGCCGCTTCCCCACAGCCTCCTCCTTCCCCGTTTCCTTCTCTTTCCCCATCATCCTGGGCCTGGAATGGTCTCCCACGTTCCTCTTCTCCCTGATCTGGATTCACGTGGTGACACCAGCCAAGATGCTGCTCTGGCATCACGCTTCCATGGGAGGGGAATGAAAAGAGCCCAAGGGATGAGCAGGACAGAGCATTGGCCCCTCCTCTCCTTCCCTTCAAGCCTCGTTTCTTCACCTCAGGAGCTGGTTTTGACCCCAGTTCTTGCACTTCTTCTCCCCTCACCCCTTAGGGCAGGCAGGAGGTACCACAAGCCACGGGGATGGAGGCACATCCATCCCGGCTGAGGTTCACTGCTGTAAGGGGGTGATGAATGAGGAGCACGTGGAGCTCCATAAATAGCAGGGGAAAGCGACAGCAGCAGGAGGCTGGGGCTGGAAGAGCCTCTTTGGGGAGCTCAGCCCATGCCTGCAGCTCACGTGTGGAATAAGCACGTGCATGAAGCCCTCTTGCCTGCAGCACCTGGCCAAAGCTGACAGTGCTAATGGGCCACAGTGGTCTTGGCCATGGAGAGATGGACCCAAATACTGATGGACTCCAAAGAGAAATGGACCCAAAGAGAGATGGACCCCAAAGAGAGATGGACCTAAAGAGAAATGGACCCAAAGAGAGATGGACCCCAAAGAGAAATGGACCCAAAGAGAAATGGACCCCAAAGAGAAATGGACCCAAAGAGAAATGGACCCCAAAGAGAGATGGACCCAAAGAGAAATGGACCCCAAAGAGAGATGGACCCAAAGAGAGATGGACCCCAAAGAGAGATGGACCCCAAAGAGAGATGGACTTCAAAGAGCGATGCACCAGGGGATGTGGGACATGAGGGGTGTCCATGCAGCCGAGCCCCACACATCTCCTCACACTCCTTGCTCCGCACCATGAAGCCAAGCAGTGCATCCTCCTGAAGTGCCCCAAGGGGAGGACATCCCATGTCTCCTTCCCCAGCTGTGATCCCAGGGGAACTGCGGCATCCCTGCGGGATCCACTGCTTCCCTGCCCCAATCTCCCCCGGTTCCCCCAGCCCAGTGACCCACCAGGCACATCAGGAGATGGGTTGAGGACCATGAAGGCATCGGAGAGGCCAGCTTTCACGGGGTGCTGGGTGGCACTGATCTGCAGGACCGGCACGGGGACCTGCAGCCAGGGAGAGAGGACGTGATGGAGGTGATGGGGGTGATGGACGTGATGGGGGTGATGGGGGTGATGGACGTGATGGGGGTGATGGGGGTGATGGGGGTGATGGACGTGATGGATGTGATGGACGTGATGGACGTGATGGGGGTGATGGGGGTGATGGACGTGATGGATGTGATGGACGTGATGGATGTGATGGAGATGATGGAAGTGATGGAGGTGATGGAGGTGATGGGGGTGATGGACGTGATGGACGTGGTGGAGGTGATGGACGTGATGGAGGTGATGGACGTGGTGGACGTGATGGACGTGATGGACGTGATGGAGTTGATGGACGTGATGGACGTGATGGACGTGATGGACGTGATGGACGTGATGAGGGTGATGGATGTGATGGACGTGATGGACGTGTGGATGTGATGGAGGTGATGGACGTGATGGACGTGATGGACGTGTGGACGTGATGGAGGTGATGGACGTGATGGACGTGATGGACGTGGTGGACGTGGTGGACGTGATGGACGTGATGGAGATGATGGAGGTGATGGAGGTGATGGAGGTGATGGGGGTGATGGATGTGATGGACGTGATGGACGTGTGGACGTGATGGAGGTGATGGAGGTGATGGACGTGATGGACGTGATGGACGTGTGGACGTGATGGAGGTGATGGAGGTGATGGACGTGATGGACGTGTGGACGTGATGGACGTGATGGATGTGATGGACGTGATGGACGTGAGGGAGGTGAGGGACGTGATGTAGGTGAGGGACGTGATGGACGTGATGGAGGTGATGGAGGTGATGGACGTGATGGACGTGATGGACGTGTGGACGTGATGGAGGTGATGGACGTGATGGACGTGATGGAGGTGATGGGGGTGATGGACGTGATGGACGTGATGGACGTGATGGACATGATGGAGGTGACGGACGTGATGGACGTGATGGAGGTGATGGACGTGATGGAGGTGATGGACATGATGGAGGTGATGGACGTGATGGACGTGATGGACCCTGCTCCCTGTGCTGCTGCAGATGTCTCTGGTGCTTTGGTGGCACCGGGAATGCCCAGCCCCGGTGTGTAGATGGTTACAACAGGGCCCCTCCTGCTGTGCCTTCCCCAGCAGAAGCACCTCTCACCTCCTTGTACCCAAAGACGATCCTGCCGGTGCTGTGCAGCGCTGCCTGGAAGGTGAAGCTCCCCATCTCCTCCTTCCCCTGAAGATAGACCTTGTCCCACTGCACCACGAACGCCGTCCCTGCAGGAGACACCAGAGCGCATCAACCCCTTCCCCTCTGCTTGCTCCCGTTCCGTGAGGACGGAGCAGGAAGCCGGGATGCTCCGGCAGCCGCTCCGGGTGGCCGGAGCCGGACTCACCGTTATCCATGTACTGGACGGTGGAATTGCGGGAGAAGCTGGGGTTGAAGTTGGCCATGAGGGGAGCCACGTACTGCGTGGCCGTGAGCATCCGGTGGATGACGTCCCCCATGAAGATGAAGCCTGAGCAAGCAGAGGAGGGTGAAGAGCGCCCGTCCCCTCCTTCCTTCCCTCCTCTGACCCCCACCTCCCTGCCCTGCCTCCTGCAGCATCTCCCCTGCATCCCCGCATCTGCTGGTACCAGCAGCAGGGCTGGGGTTACACTTGGGGTGCAGGGAGAGAGCTCAAAGGGCTCTCAAGGGCTCAGGGTTGGACTGGATGATCTCCAGTGGTTCCTTCCAGCCCTATTGATTGTGTAAGGCTGGAGCCAGCCTCAGAGCCACATCCTCGCACTATGGGAATGACAATGGAACATGGGCAACCCATCGCATCCCACCCCATTACATTGACCCCATTGCATCCCACCCCATTCCATTGACCCCATTGCATCCCACCCCATCCCATTGACCCCATTGCATCCCACCCCATTCCACTGACCCCATTGCACCCCACCCCATCCCATTGACCCCATTGCATACCACCCCATCCCATTGACCCCATCGCATCCCACCCCATTCCATTGACCCCATCACATCTCACCCCATCCTATTGACTCCATCGCATCCCACCCCATCCCATTGACCCCATTGCATCCCACCCCATCCCATTGACCCCATTGCACACCACCCCATTCCATTGACCCCACTGCATTACACCCCATCCCATTGACCCCATCGCATCCCACCCCATCCCACTGACCCCATCACATCCCACCCCATCCCATTGACCCCATCGCATCCCACCCCATCCCACTGACCCCATCACATCCCACCCCATCCCATTGACCCCATCACATCCCACCCCATCCCATTCACCCCATCATATCCCACCCCATCCCATTGACCCCATCGCATCCCACCCCATCCCATTGACCCCATCGCATCCCACCCCATCCCATTGACCCCATCACATCCCACCCCATCCCATTGACCCCATTGCATCCCACCCCATCCCATTGACCCCATCACATCCCACCCCATCCCATTCACCCCATCATATCCCACCCCATCCCATTGACCCCATCGCATCCCACCCCATCCCATTGACCCCATCGCATCCCACCCCATCCCATTGACCCCACCCCATCCCAACTCACCACCCGTCGCTATCGTGACCTGCCGCAGGAGGTGGCCATAGAAAGGGAAGTCGAAGGAGAGGACGATTCTCTATGGGAGGGAGATGGGGTGAAAGCCCGTCCCCCAGGATGTGGGCTGGGGTGCAATGGGATGGGTCGGGGCTCACCGATGCCTGTCGGTGCGTGTTGGAGAGGATCCCGTGGATCTTCACTTGGCTCCTGTTGGCCGTGGCCAAGTCGACCCACAGCCCCCTCAGACGAGCATCGCTCGGCCCGTAGACCCGCGACACGTAGTAGCTGTGGTTGTCCTCCTGCGGCGACAAGGAACGGTGGTACCCGGCTGGCTCCATGGAGACCCCCAGGCAGGGCTCAGGGACCCCATCTCAGCCACCAACCGGCACCCAAAGCCCCGTGTGAAGCCTGCGAAGGGCTCTGAGCAGGAGGAGAAGGTGCAGAGAACACCATGGGACAGCTGAGAGCAGGGGCCGGTTGGCAGGAGGGAGCCGTGACTCAGAGAGACCTCAGTGGAGCAGATGCAGCCTTCCCGGGATGAAAACATCCTGCTCCCGAGCCAGGGCTGGGAATTACATACGGGAAGTGAAGCCAACAAGTGAGGATGGGGAAACCCAGAGGAAAGGGAGAGCAGCAGAGCGGGAGCGAGGGGCTGAGCATGGGGACACGGGGCTGCATCCCCGCAGCGTGGGATGGGACACGGCTCCATGTGAGCGGTCAGACCCCTCCTCGCTATTCCCAGGATCCCAGACCCCCTTCCCAAGCAATCCAGAGCATGGAGCATGCAGCAAGAGCCGTCTCCAACCAGCCAGGGACCTGCTGGAGGATGCACATCCCCAGCCAGACCCCAGCATCTCTCCCTAGGGACCTGTTCCCCATGTGGGGCCGTGCCAGAGGCAGGGAATGGCCCATCGGCCCAGGATTCAGTGGGTAAAAATGAGGCAGTAAAGCCCTGTGTTATTCCCAAGAGAGCAATTACAGCCCCTTCCTGCTCCCAGGCCTTCCCAATGTATTCCAAAGAGTCAAGGGCTGGGATTGCGGAGGAGCTGACTCACTTGGGTGTCCTCATCCATCACCTTGCTTTGGATACAGCAGGAATGGAGAGAGGAGAGGGTCTGGACACACCAGTGAGTGGGGCAGTGCTTTGGGCAGGACTTGGGGATGCCCGGTAGCACATCCCCCTTCGTCCTTCATCATGCCAACATTCCAAACCTGGAATACTTTGGGAAGCCCCTCTGGGCTGCCACCCTCCTTCCATGGGCCGGACGCAGCGAGATGCAGCAATGCCCCTGAGCTGGCCCATGGCCCTGATGCAGAGGCTCCAAGTGTCCCATCGCTCCCACCCTGCGGCTCCGTTGCTGGGTTTGGGCTGCTTGGGTTTTGCCTTTAAACGCTTCCACATCAGCGACTTTGCTGGTTTCTGGCCCCTCTCCATCCCTGCTGCTCCCGAGCTGGGGCTCCAGGACCAGCCCCAGCCCTTTCTCCCCTCCACACCAGGCCACGGAGGCACCAATCCCATTGAATCCATGAGTGGCAAAAGCACCAGGACAAGTCCATGAGGAGCCAACCTCTGCCGCGCATCCAGAGCCCGGTTCCCTGCGATCCCATGAGCCCATCCCATCGGGATCAGCGCCAGGCAAACCCCCTCGGTTTCGAGGGACACAAATAACCAGGAGCTAATTGAGGGCGGGTAATTAGGCAGGGCTGGGATGGGGGAGCCAGGGCTGATATCCCAGGAGGGGCCGCTGCAGCAGCGCAAGCTCCTGCATCCCAAACCCATCAGCTTCCAGCACCCCTCGAGCCCCATGGCAGCATCCCCCTGCACATGTGGCAAGTGGAGCATCTCCAGCTCCTCGGGGTGGGAAGGGATGACCACAGGGCTCGGGGTGATGCCCAGGGCACCTCCTCACTGGGCTCTAATTACCCTCCTGGATCCAGCCCCATGCATTAGATCCAAGCCAACATCTCCCTGCCCAGCCTGGAAATAGCTCCCAGCGGTCAGGCTGGATCCTGCCTTGGGGGGGGGACCAGATTCCCTCTTCCCAAGGGTGGATCCCGCTGGGGGGGGGCACTCACCACGATCCGTGTTTCATTGGCAGGCAGCGTGTCGATGGCCAAGCTGCCCCCCACCAGGTCCTGGCTGATGTGGGTCCCCTCGCTCCCTGGGCCTTCACCCATCGCTGGGCTCCCAGGGGGGTGTCCTGGAGGACGGGGGGGGGGGGTGGGAGCACAGGGATGGGTTATCAGGGTCCCACAATGGGATCAACACCCTCCCCCCACAGCAAGGCAGCTTCTGCTTGGGTGACACGAGTTTGGGGGGGTCTCAGCCCCCCATCGCTGCAATGATGGAGGCAAAGGGAAGGGCTCCCTGGGTGAGGGATGGGTGCAGGGATGGGTGATGGACACCCATGGCCGTGGGAGGACAGCTGCCGTGGGGGGGGGGTGGTGTAAGGACACCCCACAGCTCATTCACACCCACACGAGGGGGGCTGGAGCTGGGGAAGATGCAGCTTCAACCACCAGCACCAGTGGCCGTGGTCCAGGGCCACCCATCCCCAAACCCGGGCTGCAATGGGGTCTCCGGACCCGGAGCATCCATGTCCTAAAGAAACACCTCCTTTGTGTCCCCCCCTGCCCGGCTCCAGCCCCAGGGAGATGGAAAACATGGAATTGGGGGGGGGGGGGATGGATGTGAACAAGCCATTTGGGACCAGACCTGCAGAGATCCATGGCGCTTCCCTGCTGCTCCCGATGGAGCCAGGACACCCGGGGGGGGCTGCTCCATCACCCCTGGGACAGGGTCCCCCCCCTTTTCCCCATAGGGAGCTCCTTGCTGCCTGAGGAGCTCGGAGCCATCCCATGGGGCTGGGTTCTATCCCCAGCTCCTCTGGGAGGGGAAACTGAGGCAAGGGGTGGGGGGGCAGCCGGCAGCCCCCGGGATGGCCCCCGGGTAGGGAAAGGGCGCTCAGTGCTGGGGGCTCCCCATGGGAGCACTGAGGGGGACCCAGCCTTTGCCGATGCTGGGGGCTCAGGGGGACCCCACAGAGGCTCCAGTGTTGTCCCCCCCCAAATCTGCACCCACAGCCACGAGGGGGGGGGGGTCCCCACCAGTGGGGCTACAGCCCCCCCCCCCCCCCAGCCCCATCGCTGCACCCCCCCTCGGGTCCCTCGCCCCCTCCGCAGCCCCCTACCTGCGCCCAGCGCCGCGCGGAGCAGGCAGAGCAGGATCAGGCCCCCCCAGCGCATGGTGCTGGGGGGCGGCGGGGCCCCCCCTCGGGCCGGCGCTGCTGGGGGGGGGTGTGGGGGGGGTGGGGGGGGTGTCAGCGCCCCGCCATCAACCGGGACCCGCGGGAGCCGCGCACCCGGAGCGGAGCGGGAGAGGAGCGGGGGGGGGGGGGGGGGGAAGCAGGGGGTGGGGCCGGGGGTGGGGCTGGGGGCGGGGCTGGAGGGGGCATGGGGGGGATCCCGGGGTGTGAGGGGGGGGTTCCGGGGTTGGGGAGCCCCGGAGCGGGGACGGGATCCAAGGAGCGGAGCGGGGATCCCGGAGGGGGGAACCCGGCCCCGGTCCGAGCACGGCTGCGGACCCCCCCCCCCCCCCGGCCCCGTCTCCATCCCCTCCCTTGGGGGGGGGGGGGGGGCAGCAGCGCAGCAGGGGGTCCCACAGCCCCGTCCCTACTGCGGGTGTGGGGGGGGTCCAAAATGGGGGTCCCGAGTGCCGCGGGGTGGGGGGGTCCCAAGGTGGGGGTCCGGGGATGGGGGATCCTTGGGGGGGAGGGTGTGGGGGCGGGCACTGTGGGGGTCGCTACCGAATTGGCTCCGTCTTCCTGCAAGGGGAAGCGACCCCCCCGCTGGGGCCACCCGAGGCTGCGGGCAGCAGGAGGCGATCCCCCCACACACACCTGGTTGAGGTGGGTGCTGGGGGGCAAATAAAGGGGACGGGGAAAAGGAGCCCCCCCAGATAGCAAAAAGAGGGGGCACCCGGATTTGAACCGGGGACCTCTTGATCTGCAGTCAAATGCTCTACCACTGAGCTATACCCCCGCCGCAATCACTGCGCGCTCACTCGCGCTGCAGCAGCGCTGCCTCCATTGTGTACCCCCGCCCCATGGACACCCCCTTGTGCACCCCACTGAGCACCCATGACCCACAGGCTACCCCGTGCCCCCCCGTTTCACCTGCACACACACACACACACCCCCTCCCATTTGCACAGCAGGGGTTGGAGGATGCAGCCCCCCAGACTCATCGGTTCAGGGAGGGGGACACGGGACATGGCATCATCACCCCCCAAACCCATCCGCACAGAGCAGGATGGAGCCAGCGCAGGGCCTGCCTGTGTGTGCACTGCAGGGACTTGGGGGGGCTGCGGGACCCCCGGGGGTTGGGGGGGGGGGCAGAGGCACCATGTGGGGCTTCCGTGGGGCTGGGGGGGTGGGGGGGGAATTGGAGCCGGAGACAGCAGCGTTGTGGGGAGCAGCCAGCGGGGGGCGGATGAGGGGAGCGATTGCCCCATGGAGCCGGGTCAATATTTGCTGCCGGAGCCGCTGAACAAACAGAGAGCGAGCGGCGGCAGCGCCCGGGGCACGATCTGGGGGACAAAGAAGGTTTGGGGCCCCCCCAGTGCGAGAGGCCGCGGTGGTTCCCCAGCCCCCTGCCCGGGATGTCCCCTCGCCCCCGTCCGTGCCCCATCGGCCTCCCCCCGTCCTCTTTACATGGGGAAACTGAGGCACGAATCAAAGCCCAAGTGGGGGGGTCACCTCCATCCCCACATCCCTGCAGCGCCAAGGAGGGGACACCGCAGTGCCCCTGCCCCGGGGACAAACCAGGGCAGCGATGGCATCGCTGCAGGAGCTAGCCCTGGGCTGCTCTTCCCCGCCTCAAAGTGTATTGGAGAGGTCGGCGGGTGCCCCCCCCCCCGCGTGTTTGGGACCACACTGTCTGTTGGGGTGCTCGGGGGGGGGGGCCATTAGCGGGTTTGCCCAGCGCCAGCGCAGCTCAGCCGGGTGATAAGGGCCCGGCCACGCAAACACCTCGTTAGTGAACCCATTAGGGAAGGTGCAAAGCCCGTCACCCGCCGCAGTTGTGTGTGCACAGGGAGGGGGCACACGGGACATGCATGGCTGGGGGGGGGCACAAAGCAAACACCGCTCAGATGCCAACTGCGTGCCTTGCGTTTGCCCCCTGATTTCCCCTCCCTCCTTCCCACTGCCCCCTATGAAATGGGGGGGGGACAAACCCCGAAGCTGCTGTTGCCTGGAGCTGCTCGATTCCAGCATCCTAAAACATGGAGGGGGGGACGCACACAGGGGCACCCCAAGCTGCACCCACCCGGCGCCGGAGCCAGACTGCACCGAGGGGGCTGTTTGCTTTGGGGCTGTTGCCCGCAGCGAGGGGAAGGCTGCAATTACGTTAATCCCTTAACCCCTGATTGCCTCCTCCTTCCCCATTAGGTGGGCAAACAGTTTTAGCAGCAGGGTTCATGATAGGCTCTGGGCTACAAATACCCCGTGTGCCCCCGGCCCGGGCACCCAGCGCCACCGCCAGCACCATGCCGATGTCCCCGGCCATCCTCATCCTCATCGCCTCGCTCCTGCCCGCGGCCTCCGGGTACCTCTGGGCCTGGATGTACTCGCTGCCCCATCAGCCCCCCGAGGAAGCCGCGCTGGGGAGGAGCGCCAGCCCCGGGGACAAGGCCGAGGAGGTGAGGGATGGGTGCCCGGTGCGATGGGTGCCGCACGGGGAGGGGGTCCTGGTGGGGGGGGGGGCAGGAGGAAGCGGGGTATGGCTGCGGCAGGGGGGGAGCTGGGTTTAGAGCCAGGGTGGGAGCAGAGGTGGGTCCAGGAGCACGAGGTGGTTTTGCCCCTGGGGTGGGAGCAGAGGTGGGTACAGAAGAGCCGGGTTTGTATCAGGGTGGGAGGTGGGTCTGCAGCAGGGCTGGGAGCAGAGATGGGTGCAGGATCGGGGTTTAAAGGCAGGGTGGGAGCTGGGTTTGCCCCTGGGATGGGAGCTGCGGCTGAGAGAGCACGGGTGGGTCCAGGAGCAGGAGGTGGCTTTGCCCCTGGGTTGGGAGCAGAGATGGGTACAGGAGAGCTGGGTTTGTATCAGGGTGGGATGAAGGTGGGAGCTGAGTCTGCAGCAGGGGTGGGAGCAGAGATGGGTGCGGGAGCTGTGTTTAAAGGAGGGTGGGAGCAGAGATGGGTGCGGGAGCTGTGTTTAAAGGAGGGTGGGAGCAGAGATGGGTGCAGGATCGGGGTTTAAAGGCAGGGTGGGAGCAGAGATGGGTGCAGGATCGGGGTTTGCCCTGGGATGGGAGCAGAGATGGGTGCAGGAGCTGTGTTTGCCCTGGGATGGGAGCAGAGATGGGTGCGGGAGCTGTGTTTAAAGGCAGGGTGGGAGCAGAGATGGGTGCAGGATCGGGGTTTAAAGGCAGGGTGGGAGCAGAGATGGGTGCAGGATCGGGGTTTGCCCTGGGATGGGAGCAGAGATGGGTGCGGGAGCTGTGTTTGCCCTGGGATGGGAGCAGAGATGGGTGCGGGAGCTGTGTTTAAAGGCAGGATGGAAGCAGAGATGGGTGAGGGATCGGGATTTAAAGGCAGGGTGGGAGCAGAGATGGGTGCAGGATCGGGATTTAAAGGCAGGGTGGGAGCAGAGATGGGTGCGGGAGCTGTGTTTAAAGGCAGGGTGGGAGCAGAGATGGGTGCGGGAGCTGTGTCTAAAGGCAGGGTGGGAGCAGAGATGGGTGCAGGATCGGGATTTAAAGGCAGGGTGGGAGCAGAGATGGGTGCGGGAGCTGTGTTTAAAGGCAGGGTGGGAGCAGAGATGGGTGCGGGAGCTGTGTCTAAAGGCAGGGTGGGAGCAGAGATGGGTGCGGGAGCTGTGTTAAAGGCAGGGTGGGAGCAGAGATGGGTGCAGGAGCTGTGTTTAAAGGCAGGAGCAGAGATGGGTGCAGGATCGGGGTTTAAAGGCAGGGTGGGAGCAGAGATGGGTGCAGGAGCTGGGTTTAAAGGCAGGATGGGAGCAGAGATGGGTGCGGGAGCTGGGTTTGCCCTGGGACGGGAGCAGAGATGGGTGCGGGATCGGGGTTTGCCCTTGGATGGGAGCAGAGATGGGTGCGGGATCGGGGTTTGCCCTGGGATGGGAGCAGAGATGGGTGCAGGATCGGGGTTTGCCCTGGGATGGGAGCAGAGATGGGTGCGGGAGCTGTGTTTAAAGGCAGGATAGGAGCAGAGATGGGTGCGGGATCGGGGTTTGCCCTGGGATGGGAGCAGAGATGGGTGCGGGATCGGGGTTTGCCCTGGGATGGGAGCAGAGATGGGTGCAGGATCGGGGTTTGCCCTGGGATGGGATCAGAGATGGGTGCGGGAGCTGGGTTTAAAGGCAGGGTGGGAGCAGAGATGGGTGCGGGATCGGGGTTTGCCCTGGGATGGGAGCAGAGATGGGTGCGGGAGCTGTGTTTGCCCTGGGATGGGAGCAGAGATGGGTGCGGGAGCTGTGTTTAAAGGCAGGGTGGGAGCAGAGATGGGTGCGGGAGCTGTGTCTAAAGGCAGGGTGGGAGCAGAGATGGGTGCGGGAGCTGTGTTAAAGGCAGGGTGGGAGCAGAGATGGGTGCAGGAGCTGTGTTTAAAGGCAGGAGCAGAGATGGGTGCAGGATCGGGGTTTAAAGGCAGTGTGGGAGCAGAGATGGGTGCAGGAGCTGGGTTTAAAGGCAGGATGGGAGCAGAGATGGGTGCGGGAGCTGGGTTTGCCCTGGGACGGGAGCAGAGATGGGTGCGGGATCGGGGTTTGCCCTTGGATGGGAGCAGAGATGGGTGCGGGATCGGGGTTTGCCCTGGGATGGGAGCAGAGATGGGTGCGGGATCGGGGTTTGCCCTGGGATGGGATCAGAGATGGGTGCGGGATCGGCGTTTGCCCTGGGATGGGATCAGAGATGGGTGCAGGAGCTGGGTTTGCCCTGGGATGGGAGCAGAGATGGGTGCAGGAGCTGGGTTTGCCCTGGGATGGGAGCAGAGATGGGTGCGGGAGCTGTGTTTAAAGGCAGGGTGGGATCAGAGATGGGTGCGGGAGCTGGGTTTAAAGGCAGGGTGGGAGCAGAGATGGGTGCGGGACCGGGGTTTGCCCTGGGATGGGAGCAGAGATGGGTGCGGGACCGGGGTTTGCCCTGGGATGGGAGCAGAGATGGGTGCGGGATCGGGGTTTAAAGGCAGGGTGGGAGCAGAGATGGGTGCGGGATCGGGGTTTGCCCTGGGATGGGAGCAGAGATGGGTGCGGGATCGGGGTTTAAAGGCAGGGTGGGAGCAGAGATGGGTGCGGGATCGGGGTTTGCCCTGGGATGGGAGCAGAGATGGGTGCGGGATCGGGGTTTGCCCTGGGATGGGAGCAGAGATGGGTGCGGGATCGGGGTTTGCCCTGGGATGGGAGCTGGCGCTGGGTCCAGGGGCCGGAGCCGGGACTGCTCCAAGGGGGGGGCCCCGTTTCCACCCGGGGCGGGACCGGCGGGGCCGGCAGGGGGCGCGGGCGCGGCGGGCGGCGCCGGGCGCTCCAGTGGCGCAATCGGTCAGCGCGCGGTACTTATAGGGCAGTACGCGGAGCAATGCCGAGGTTGTGAGTTCGAGCCTCACCTGGAGCACGACTTTTACGTGCCCCGACAGCCGCCCCCCACCCCGTCTCTCCCCATTGCCCCCATTGTCCCCACCACCCCGCTTTGATTCGCGATGCGCGAGCAGCTTTTGTCCCGGAGGCAGGGATGAGGATGCGCTGTGTGTGTGTGTGTGTCCCCCCCCATAGGCATCAACCTGCGGCCCGGCCACCCCCTGCACCCACGGGCACTTCTGCGACGAGCACTTCGGGTTGTGCCTGCCCGAGCGGCCCGAGGGGCAGTACTGCCGCCGAGACTCGCACTGCGCCCGCGGCCTCCTCTGCATGTTCGGGAAGTGCCAACAGCCCGTGCCCGACGGGCAGGAGGGTGAGCGGGGACCGGGATTTAACGGGGACGGGACGGGGGGGACACGGGATATCGCAGCATCACCCCTGCGAGCTGCTGGGGGGGGAGCACCCAATGGTCCAGCTCCATCCGTGTCCCCAGTGCGGAGACCGGGCTTGGACTGGGGGGGACATCGCAGCATCACCCTTGATGGAGGGGGGCACCCACTGGTCCAGCTCCATCCGTGTCCCCAGTGCTGGGATTGGGCTTGGACGGGGCGGGGGAGACATCGCAGCATCACCCCTGTGAGCTAATGGAGGGGGGCACCCAATGGTCCAGCTCCATCCGTGTCCCCAGTGTGGGGATTGGGCTTGGACGGGGCAGGGGGGACATCACAGCATCACCCTTGATGGAGGGGGGCACCCACTTGTCCAGCTCCATCCGTGTCCCCAGTGCTGGGATTGGGCTTGGACGGGGCGGGGGGGACATCGCAGCATCACCCCTGTGAGCTGATGGAGGGGGGGCACCCACTGGTCCAGCTCCATCCGTGTCCCCAGTGCGGGGACCGGCCTTGGACAGGGGGGACACTGCAGCATCGCCCTTGATGGAGGGGGGCACCCACTGGTCCAGCTCCATCTGTGTCCCCAGTGCGGGATTGGGCTTGGACGGGGCGGGGGAGACATCACAGCATCACCCTTGATGGAGGGGGGGCACCCATTGGTCCAGCTCCATCCCTGTCCGCAGTTCAGGGACCGGCCTTGGACGGGGTGGACATCGCAGCATCACCCTTGATGGAGGGGAGCACCCATTGGTCCAGCTCCATCCGTGTCCCCAGTGCTGGGATTGGGCTTGGACGGGGCGGGGGGGACATCGCAGCATCACCCCTGCGAGCTGATGGAGGGGGGGCACCCACTGGTCCAGCTTCATCCCTGTCCCCAATGCAGAGACCGGGCTTGGACTGGGGGGACATCGCAGCATCACCCTTGATGGAGGGGGGCACCCACTGGTCCAGCTCCATCCGTGTCCCCAGTGCTGGGATTGGGCTTGGACGGGGCGGGGGAGATATCGCAGCATCACCCCTGCGAGCTGATGGAGGGGGGGCACCCACTGGTCCAGCTCCATCCCTGTCCCCAATGCAGAGACCGGGCTTGGACTGGGGGGACATCGCAGCATCACCCTTGATGGAGGGGGGCACCCACTGGTCCAGCTCCATCCGTGTCCCCAGTGCGGGATTGGGCTTGGACGGGGCGGGGGAGACATTGCAGCATCACCCCTGTGAGCTAATGTAGGGGGGCACCCACTGGTCCAGCTCCATCCGTGTCCCCAGTGTGGGGATTGGGCTTGGACGGGGTGGGGGGGACATCGCAGCATCACCCTTGATGGAGGGGGGCACCCATTGCTCCAGCTCCATCCGTGTCCCCAGTGCTGGGATTGGGCTTGGAAGGGGTGGACATCGCAGCACCACCCTTGATGGAGGGGGGCACCCACTTGTCCAGCTCCATCCGTGTCCCCAGTGCTGGGATTGGGCTTGGACGGGGTGGACATCGCAGCATCACCCTTGATGGAGGGGGGCACCCACTGGTCCAGCTCCATCCGTGTCCCCAGCGCGAGGACCGGGCCGTGCTCCCCCTCCCTTGACGCTGTTCCCCATCCCCGCAGGAGCTCGGTGCGTGCGGGACGAGGAGTGCGGAGCCGACGGGTGCTGTGCGCGGGTGCACGGCGAGAGCGTTTGCCAGCGGCGGCTGGAGCGGGGCCGGAGCTGCCACGTCCCCCCCGGGGGTCTCGCCTTCAGCATCAACCAACTCTGCCCCTGCCAGCGAGGGCTCGTGTGCAGGGCGAGCGCGCCCGTCCGAGAGTGAGTGCGGGGCTCCCGGGGACACGGGGACCGGGGCCGGGAGCGCGGTGTTAACCGCTTTGTGCTCCATCTCCCCCCGCAGGAAGGCGTTCGAGTACCGGCCGGAGAAGAGCGAGTGGCGGTGCCGGCAGCCCTGAGCCGGCGGCTCCCTATTTATTGCCTGTAAATAGCCCGCCCGGAGCCGGCCGAGCCATCGCCCATCACCGCGGCTTCGGGTTCCCTCCCCTATCCCCAGCGTGGAGTCGGGCTGGTCCCAGCTCCATCCGCAGCCGTTCCCCTTTGGCTGGGCACTGCAGAACTGAGTTGTGCCCGGTCTCAGCCCTATGTGTTTGTGTCGTGTGTCCCCCCCCCGCACACCAGGCACAGCCATGGGGCAGGTCTCACCGAACTGTTTATTACAAAGAACCAAGCGAGCGGGGCAAGTCCGTCCCCCCCCCCCAAAAACACCCCCCCCCCCCAACAGAATAAATAAATAAAATACACTTTTTTGGGGTCTTTTAAATAACGGTTGTGGAGTGACATAAATAGGGGGGATCCAGTGCCCATGGGGGGGGGGGGGGACCCCGCTGCCTGGTGAGCACCAGGGCAGGAAGGTCTCAAAGCACTTGGCAGCAGTAACACTGTGTGACCCCCCCCCCCCAAAGGGGAAACTGAGGCACACATGGGCAGAATGGGGTGTCGTCGTCGTCCCCCCCCCTCCTCCTCGATCCCTCCAAAGCTGGGGGGGGTGTCTGGGTAAGGCAGCGACCCCCATAAATGGGGCAAGCCCGGCCCCATGGTGAGGGCTGGATGTGGGGTGGGGACACCCCCACCTTGGTGCGGGTTGGGACACACACACACACACACACAAAGGGCACCCCAGGGCGGGCGCAGGAGAAGGCAGTGCCCTTGGGGGGGGGGACACACACAGAGACAGGCTCACAGACAGACGGACACAGCAGGGGGAAAGGGGGGGGCTGCCCTGTGCACCCCAACCCCAGGGTAAGGGCCCCCCCCATAGGGCAGGCCAGGGCTGGGCAGCTGTTAGCACGTGTTAGACCCCCCCAAACTGGCTCAGATTTACATCCCCCCCCCCCCAAACTCAAGCAGAGCCCCTCCAAGGCAAACACATGCAAACTGCTCCCCCCCCCCCCCCGCTCAGGGCACGCAGCACCCCAACACCCTGCACACACTACACACGCATGCGTTGGCACGGGTTGGGGGGCGCTGTGGGTCACAGCCCTGCAGTGGGGCAGTGCCAGGCTGTAGGCACTGCTTGGGGGGGGGGGGCGTTGAGATGAGCGCAGGGCCCCCCCCTGCAGCCGGGTGGCAAAGAGCACCATGGAGGGGGGGGGACACATACACAGAGCCCCCACCATGGGGCAGGGGACGGGCTGGGGGGCCCATTTGGTCACTTGCCCCCCCCCCCCCCAGCAGGGAGGGCTTGAGGCACCGCGAGATGTTGGGGGGCTGCGGTGTAATGGGGGGACACCCCCCAAGGGAGGAATGGGGGTCCCAGGGCAAAGCAGGGGCTCCCCATGGGGGCACAAAGGCAGGCGATGGGGGCCTGCATCCCCCCCTTCACCCTAACGGGGGGTGTAAACATCCCGGCCCCATCGCTCCCCATCGCTCCGCTCCCCTGCGCCCTGCCCCATAGCCCGGCTGTGGGGCTCACCCTCACCCCATAACCCCGCGGGGGGGGGGTGTGGGGCTGGCAGCCGGGGGGTGCCCCACGGGCTCCGCGTCTCCCGGCTCCATCTCGATGTCCGTGGGGCAGGAATCACCGGGCTCGGTGCCGGCTGCGTCCGCGGGCTCCACGTCCACGGTGTCCTGGCGGGACAGGGGCTGCCGGGGGGGGCGGCAGCGCTGCCCCGGCACCGGGTACGGACCCTGGTTAGGGAGAAGCAACCACACCGTGCAATGGGGGGGGGGGGGGGGGGGGTTAGTTGGGGGGCCGGGGGGGGGACACACACATGCATCAAGCCCAGCCTGGCCTGCACACGCTGCTCACTCAGGACATGACTTGTGTCAGGTCTCAGCCTGGGGGGGGCTGTGGAAATGGGGGTGATGGGGGGGGTCCCAGCAGCCACAGACAACACAGGATATGTGTGTGTGTGTGTGTGTGTGTGTGTCCCCACTTCCTGCCGTGGGGTGAGCCTCACGGTGGGGCAGGGCTCCCCATCCCAGCTGGTCCTCGCCCTCACTGTGGATCCCCCAGGATTGGGGGGGGGGGGCACCCAAAGGGGATATTGGGGGGGGGGGGGGCTAAGAGAGGACATGGATCCCATTGAGACCTCAACCTGGGGAGCACCGGTCCCATGGTGGGGAGCAGCCCCCCAGTGTGACCCCATCCCTGTGTGTGTGTGGGGGGGGTGTCTTCATTCCCCCCCCATCCCAGGGCCACCCCATAGAGGCCACCCCAAGGATGGTCCCCAGTGCCTGGGGATGGTGCTGGGTGCTGGGTGATGGAGGGGGGGGGTTCTGTGCGTGCCTCACAGCGCGTGTTCATCCAGGGCGCCGGGGGGGCCGGCGTCGGAGCCCCCACGGCCCCAGAGGCCCAGGTTGCGGCGCAGGGAGGTGAGCACCTGTACCTGGAGGTTGGAGACGGGCGCGGGGCTGGCGGCCAGCGCCGCCGTGGCCATGGTGCGGTTGAGCAGAGGGTTGGGGGGGTTGCTGCTTGGGGGGTGCGTGGCCTTCCAATAGGCCTCCAGGTACTCGGCCAAGTGCTCGCAAGCCTCCTCCAGCTGGTTCTCATCCAGCACGATGTCGAACATCTCCTGGGGATGGAAGGAGGATGTGGGGCGGAGCAGGGGCTGTGGGGCTGGGTGAGTGCTATGGGGTGGGGGCTATGGGGCAGGGCTATGGGGGCTGGGAGATGGGGCAGGGTAAGGGCTATGGGCCAGGGTGAGTGCTATGGGGTGGGGGCTATGGGGCTGGGTGAGGGCTATGGGGCTGGGAGATGGGGCAGGGTGAGGGCTATGGGCCAGGGTGAGTGCTATGGGGCTGGACTACGGGGCTGGGTGAGGGCTATGGGCCAGGGTGAAGGCTATGGGGTGGGGCCTATAGAGCAGGGCTGTGGGGCAGTGTGAGGGCTACGGGGCAGGGCTATGTGCCAGGGTGAGGGGTATGGGGCAGGACTATGGGCCAGGGTGAGGGTTATGGGGTGGGGCCTATAGGGCAGGGTTGTGAGGCAGGGCTGTGGGGCAGGGTGAGTGCTATGGGGCAGGGCTATGGGCCAGGGTGAAGACTATGGGGTGGGGCCTATAGGGCAGGGCTATGAGGCAGGGCTGTGGGGCAGGGTGAGTGCTATGCGGCAGGGCTATGGGCCAGGGTGAGTGCTATGGGGTGGGGGCTATGGGGCAGAGTGAGGGCTAGGGGCCAGGGCTATGGGCCAGGTTGAGGCCTATGGGGCAGGCCTATGGGGCAGGCCTATGGGGCAGGGTGAGGGCTATGGGGCGGAGCTATGGGCCGGGCACGCACCGGGGGGCACTGCGCCAGCTTGTCCGAGGCCACCATCTGCACGTTGAGGTGCTTGGCCTGCGACTTCCCGCGAGACTTCACCAAGCGCTGCAGCACCTGGGCCGGCGGGCACAGGGACCCTGCAGAGCTCCGCACCCAGCACCCGCTCCGTGTCCATGTGTCCCTGTGTGTCCCCTACCCACAACCACCCAGCACCCGCTCCATGTCCCTGTGTCCATTTGTCCCCTACCCACAACCACCCAGCACCCGCTCCGTGTCCGTTTGTCCCCTACCCACAAGCACCCAGCACCCGCTCCATGTCCCTGTGTGTCCCCTACCCACAACCACTCAGCACCCGCTCCGTGTGTCCCTGTTTGTCCCCTACCCACAACCACCCAGCACCCGCTCCGTGTGTCCCTGTTTGTCCCCTACCCACAACCACCCAGCACCCACTCCGTGTCCCTGTGTCCGTTTGTCCCCTACCCACAACCACCCAGCACCCTCTCCGTGTGTCCGTTTGTCCCCTACCCACAACCACCCAGCACCCGCTCCATGTCCATGTGTGTCCGTTTGTCCCCTACCCACAACCACACAGCACCCGCTCCATGTCCCTGTGTCCGTTTGTCCCCTACCCACAACCACCCAGCACCCGCTCCGTGTGTCCCTGTGTCCCCTACCCACAACCACACAGCACCCGCTCCGTGTCCCTGTGTCCGTGTGTCCCCTACCCACAACCACCCAGCACCCACTCCGTGTGTGTCCGTTTGTCCCCTACCCACAACCACGCTCCCACCTTCGGCGAGGCGATCTTGATGTAGACGATGATGGGCGCCAGGGAGGTCTTGGCCAGCTGCGCGGGGTGGTTGATGGTGTCTGCGTCCAGCGCCACGAGCTGCAGCGTCCGTGCCAGCTCGAAGATGCGCTCGGTCTCGCTCTGCACCTCGGCTGTGGGATGGGGACATTGAGGTCAATGGAGGGGGGGGGAAGAGTTAAAGGACAAAGCCACCCCCCCAATCGTGACCCTCCATCCCTAACCCTTCGGTGACCCCAAGGCAGGATGGGGGGCCAAAGGGATGTGTGTGTGTCCCCCCACACACCGTTGTCCCCCCCACCCCACACACACACACACACACACACACACCAGGGGTGCCCCAAGCTACATACCCAAGACATCTGTATCAGGAGCAGGGGAGGAAGGAGCAGCGCGGAGGGGAAGGAACCCAAAGGAAACAACAGAGAGAAGATAAAGGAGGAGGAGGAGGAGGAGAGGCTGAATCAAACGGGTTGGGGGGGGAGCACAAGGGACAGGGTCCCCCCTTGTTGGGACAGGAGGCTGATACAGATGGAGGCTTGGGGGGGGGGGATGTTAGGGGGGTTCAATGGGGGGTGTTGAGCACTGGAGGAGGAGGAGGGGGGGATCCGGATGGGGGTGCTGAGGCTCACCCAGGCTGGAGCGCGTGCTGGAGCGCTCGATGATGGTGTGCTTGCTGGGGTTGTTGAGCACCGAGCGCTTGGCCAGGGAGATGTCGGCCGTCACCCTCGTGATGGAGATCCTGGGGGATGCAGGGGGGCACAAAACCCACCCCAAATGGGCACACCCGGACCCTTGGGGACCCTCCTGATACCCCCCCCCCTCCACTTTCATCCCCCTCCTATGCTGGAGCTCCCCCCAGCAGCAAGAACCATGGGGCAAGGCGTTAGGGGTCCCCCCATGGAGTTAGGGGTCCATCCCCTCATGGCATATGGGGTTCCTCTTTGGTGTTAGGGGTCCCCCCATGGAGTTAGGGGTGCCCTTGTGGTGTTAGGGACCCTCTCATGGGGTTAAGGGGTTCCTCCATGGATTAAGGCCCCCCACGATGTTAGGGGTCCCCTCCATGGTGTTAGAGGTCCATCCCCTCATGGCATATGGGGTTCTTCTTTGGTGTTAGGGGTCCCCCCATGGGGTTAGGGGTCCCCTTGTGGTGTTAGGGGCCCTCCCATGGGGTTACCCCATGGGATTATGGGGCCCCCATGATGTTAGGGGTCCCCTCCATGGTGTTAGTGGTCCGTCCTCTCATGGCATTAGGGGTTCCTCTTTGGTGTTAGGGGTCCCCTCCATGGTGTTAGGGGTCCCCCCATGGTGTTAGGGGTCCCCCCATGGGGTTAGGGGTGCCCTTCTGGTGTTAGGGGCCCTCTCATGGGGTTAAGGGGTTTCCTCAATGGGATTAAGGTCCCCCGACGATGTTAGGGGTCCCCTCCACAGTGTTAGAGGTCCCTCCCCTCATGGCATATGGGGTTCCTCTTTGGAGTTAGGGGTCCCCCCATGGGGTTAGGGGTCCTCCATGGGATTATGGGGCCCCCATGATGTTAGGGGTCCCCTCCACGGTGTTAGTGGTCCGTCCTCTCATGGCATTAGGGGTTACTCTTTGGTGTTAGGGGTCCCCTCCATGGTGTTAGGGGTCCCCTCCATGGTGTTAGGGGTCCCCTTGTGGTGTTAGGGGCCCTCCCATGGAGTTAGGGGGTTCCCCCATGGGATTAAGGCCCCCCCACGATTTTAGGGGTCCCTCACGGTGTTAGGAGTCCGTCCCTTCATGGCATTAGGGGTTCCTCTTTGGCGTTAGGGGTCCCCTCATGGGGTTAGGGGATTTTCCCTATTGGATTAGGGGTCCCTTTATGGAGGAATGGGTCCCCCACACAGTATAAGGGGTTTCCCCCATGGGATTAGGGGACCCCTCATAGGATCACCCCCTCCTTGGGGTGAGGAGTCTCCCTGTAGCATTAAGTGTCCCTCATGGGGTCAAGGGTCCCCTTTTGCCATTAGGGACCCCTCACGGGGTGATGGGTCCCCCCATGGTGTCAGTGCCCCCCCCCCCCCATGTCTCACCTGCCATCAAAGCGATGCTTCAAGAAGTCAAAGAGTGCTTTCTGCATCATGTCCGTGACCTGGGCAGGGATGCACAGAGGGGTCCATGGCACTGGGGTCCCCCCCTATGTGTCCCATTCCCCCCCCCGTGCCCCCCCCACACTCCTCACCTCGTACCCCTTCAGCGACGGCCCCACCAGGATGATGGGGCGCATGGAGGGGACCACGTCGTAGGGGGGCACGTGCTCGGTCTGTGGGGCAGAGCTGGGGGTCAATGGGGTGAGCGCACGGATGGAGGGCGGGATGAGGATGCTCAGCTTCACCCCTACGAGGGGGGGGGGGGGCTGCAAGCAGGGGGACCCCCAAACCCCTCCCGGGGGGGGCCCTCCCGGGGGTCCTGTCGGTACTCACCGACTTCTGCTTCTGCTTCGCTACGCGCCGAGGGGCCGGGGGGGCCGGGGGCGAGAGGAGACAAACAAGGCATGCGTGTTACCAGCCATGGGGCACAGGAAGCATCGCCCTGCTCTGGGTTAGCTTCTGGGGTGCAAGCGGGGGGCTCGGAGCGGCGATTGCCCCCAGTTAAGCCTTTGCAGACCCGCTTCTTTCCCCCCCCCCATGGTGGGGCTGTGGTTGCACCCAGAGCCCCCCAGGTCCTGCCCAGCTGAGGGGGAGGAATGGTCCACTCTCATTCGCAGGGGGGTGAGGGGGTGACACGCCGGCCGTGCTGGCACACACCATGCGCACACATGGGCACCCCAGGCAGTGGGGGGGCATGGACTGATCCATCCATAGGCCATGGGGGAGGCAGGCAGAGATTCATCCATCCCATGTACTACGGACTGACCCATCCCCATGGGCCACGGGGGGAGGCAGACACAGACTCATCCACCCCATGGACCACGGACTCATCCATCCCATGGACTATGGGGGGAGGCAGCCATGGACTCATCCATCCCATGGGCCACAGGGGGAGGCAGCCACAGACTTATCCACCCCCATGGATCGCGGACTCATCCATCCCATGGACTATGGGGGGAGGCAGCCACGGACTCATCCATCCCATGTACCATGGGCTGATCCATCCCACGGGCCATGGGGGGAGGCAGCCACAGGTTCATCCATCCCATGGACCAAGGACTGATTCATCCCATGGACCAAGGACTGATCCATCCCATGTACCATGGACTGATCCATCCCATGGACCACGGGGGAAGGCAGCCACGGACTCACCCACCCCATGGACCATGGACTGATCCATCCCATGGACCACAGGGGGAGGCAGCCACAGCAGCCACACTCACCCATCCCATGGACCATGGACTGATCCATCCCATGGACCATGGGGGGAGGCAGCCACAGCAGCCACACTCACCCATCCCATGGACCATGGACTGATCCATCCCATGGACCATGGGGGGAGGCAGCCACGGACTCATCCACCCCATGGACCATGGGGGGAGGCAGCTGCAGGCTGATCCACCCCATGGACCAAGGACTGATCCATCCCATGCGCCATGGGGGGAGGCAGCCACGGACTCACCCACCCCATGGACTATGGACTGATCCATCCCATGGACCACAGGGGGAGGCAGCCACGGACTGATCCATCCCATGGACCACGGGGGGAGGCAGCCACAGCAGCCACACTCATCCATCCCATGGACCACGGACTGATCCATCCCATGGACCATGGGGGGAGGCAGCCACGGATTCATCCACCCCATGTACCAAGGACTGATCCATCCCATGGACCATGGGGGGAGGCAGCTGCAGGCTTATCCACCCCATGGACCAAGGACTGATCCATCCCATGCGCCATGGGGGGAGGCAGCCACGGACTCACCCACCCCATGGACTATGGACTGATCCATCCCATGGACCACAGGGGGAGGCAGCCACGGACTCATCCACCCCATGGACCACGGCCTGATCCATCCCATTGATCACGGGGGGGGGGGGGGATGCAGCCACGGACGGATCCACCCCATGGCCCGGGGAGGGGGGAGGCAGTGTTAGGGCAGGCAGGGTGCAGCAGGCGAGCGCGGGGCCCGGCGGGTGCCGTTACCTTCCTAAAGAAGGGGATGCGCTTGTTGTGGGCTGGGGGGGTGGTGACACTGCTCACGCTACTCTTAGGGGAGCGGTGGGTCTCCATGGCCGCCTCCTCCTCCTCTAACTCATCGGGGTCAAAGGCAAAGCTAGGCATGTCCAGGGCACCTGGGGACGGGGGCAACCGGAGCAGGGGATGGGGTTGGGGTTGGGGGGGGGAGAGAAGAAGAGCGATGATGATGATGATGGAAGAAGGGGAACATGGAAGTGTGGGAAGAAGCAGGAAGGGATGGGAGAGGAGATGGGGGGGTCCCCAAGGGATGGGGGGGGTTGCACCCGCCTGCCTGCACCGGAGCTAAGGACAAGGAGGGGGGTCCTGCCGCGGGGACCCCCGACACTCTTACCGCTGGCGGGGGGGGTCGGCCGGCGCGTCCCCGTCACCACATCACCCAGGCTGGAGCTGGAGTTGTCGCCTGATTTGCTGCATGGGAGAAGAATGGATTGGGGGGGGGGGGGGGGGGGTGGGATGGGATGGGGATGGGGATGGACATGGAGAGGGGGGGGGGTGAGCACCTTGCAGAGCCGGGACAGGAGCCGGTGCCCCCGTGGCTGAGCCGCACCTGGAGCTCAGGCGGTTCTGCCTCATCTTCTGCTCCTGCAGCAGCCGCATGGTCTCCAGCTTGACGGGGCTGGGGATGAAGCCGACCTCGCAGCCCTCCTTCACCAGGCGCCCGATCCACCAGTCGTTGTTGTACTTCTGGGGGGGGAGAGGGGGGCAGGAAGCCCTGAGACCCCCAATTCCTGCTGTTCCCCTACCCCCCTTCTCTCCATCACCAACCCCGTGCGCACCTCCTTGATGTGCAGGAAGTCCTTGGGCTCGAAGCAGATGGCCATGCCCTGCACCGGGACGTCGTCGCTGGCCGATGGGTTGTACCCGACGTTGGTGCGGACGGCGAAGGCCACCGGCTTCGTCTGGCAACGGGACAGGGATCAGCACCTTTCAACCACCCCCCAGCACCCACAGAGAGCCGGGGACGGGCGGGAGCTGGTGCCACCGGCCGTGGGTACCACAGCACAGCCCCTCACTGGGGCACCAATGGGGCGGTAAGGAGGGGCTCACTGCGTGGAGCAAGGGGAGAACCCGGGATCCCAGTGCACCCAGTGCCACCCACTGCTCCCAGTGCCACCCAGTGCTACCCACTGCTCCCAGTGCCACCCAGTGTACCCCCTGCCTCCTACTGCCATACAGTGCACCCAGTGCCACCCACTGCTCCCAGTGCCACCCAATGCATCTCCTGCCTCCTACTGCCATCCAGTGCACCCAGTGCCACCCACTGCTCCCAGTGCCACCCAATGCACCCCCTGCCTCCTACTGCCATCCAGTGCACCCAGTGCCACCCACTGCTCGCAGTGCCACCCAGTGCATCCCCTGCCTCCTACTGCCATCCAGTGCACCCAGTGCCACCCGCTGCTCCCAGTGCCACCCAATGCACCCCCTGCCTCCTACTGCCATCCAGTGCACCCAGTGCCACCCACTGCTCCCAGTGCCACCCAGTGCATCCCCTGCCTCCTACTGCCATCCAGTGCACCCAGTGCCACCCACTGCTCCCAGTGCCACCCAATGCATCCCCTGCCTCCTACTGCCATCCAGTGCACCCAGTGCCACCCACTGCTCCCAGTGCCACCCAATGCATCCCCTGCCTCCTACTGCCATCCAGTGCACCCAGTGCCACCCACTGCTCCCAGTGCCACCCAGTGCTACCCACTGCTCCCAGTGCCACCCAATGCACCCCCTGCCTCCTACTGCCATACAGTGCACCCAGTGCCACCCACTGCTCCCAGTGCCACCCAATGCATCCCCTGCCTCCTACTGCCATACAGTGCACCCAGTGCCACCCACTGCTCCCAGTGCCCCCCAGTGCACTCACTGCTCCCCAGTGCACCCAGTGCCACCCAATGCACCCACTGACCCTTGCCACCCTGTGCACCCACTGCACCCCAGTGCACAACTGCTCCCCAGTGCACCCAGTGCCACCCAGTGCACCCAGTGCCACCCAGTGCGCCCCCTGCTCCCACTGCTTCAAAGTGTACCCCAGTGCTTCTGTGCCACCCAGTGCACCCCTGCTCCCCAGTGCTCTCCAGTGCACCCACTGCTCCCCAGTGCACCCATTGCTCCCCAGTGCCTCCCAGTGCACCCACTGCTTCCCAGTGCTCCCCACTGCCCCCAGTGCACCCACTGCTTCCCAGTGCTCCCCACTGCTTCCCAGTGCACACACTGCTCCCAGTGCCACCCAGTGGCCACCCAGTGCACCCCCTGCTCCCCATTGCCACCCAGTGCACCCAGTGCCCCCCAGTGCTCTCCAGTGCACCCACTGCTCCCCAGTGCCACCCACTGCACCCACTGCTTCCCAGTACTCCCCACTGCTCCCAGTGCCACTCAGTGCCCCCAGTGCCCCCCCCAGTGCCCCCCAGTGCACCCCCTGCCACCCAGTGCACCCCCTACTCCCCAGTGCCACCCACTGCACCCACTGCTTCCCAGTGCTTCCATGCCACCCAGTGCACCCCCTGCTCCCCATTGCCACTCAGTGCACCCAGTGCCCCCCAGTGCACCCCCTACTCCCCAGTGCCACCCAGTGCACCCACTGCTTCCCAGTACTCCCCACTGCTCCCAGTGCCACTCAGTGCCCCCAGTGCACCCCCTGCCACCCAGTGCACCCCCTGCTCCCCATTGCCACCCCGTGCACCCAGTGCCCCCCAGTGCTCTCCAGTGCACCCCCTACTCCCCAGTGCCACCCACTGCACCCACTGCTTCCCAGTGCTTCCATGCCACCCAGTGCACCCCCTGCTCCCCATTGCCACTCAGTGCACCCAGTGCCCCCCAGTGCTCTCCAGTGCACCCCCTGCCACCCAGGGCACCCCCTACTCCCCAGTGCCTCCCAGTGCACCCACTGCTTCCCAGTACTCCCCACTGCTCCCAGTGCCACTCAGTGCCCCCAGTGCCCCCCCAGTGCACCCCA